GGGTTGAGGCGATTCTCTTTTGAGTCCGTTCTTTCGCAAAGATCGAATTCTTGTTTCTTCAGTACACCAAAAGGCCAGAGACGTTCGCCGATCCTCAAGTCGGAATTCTACACCGGGAAGTGTACCCACACTGGTGACGGCGAGTCTGGAGGTTTTACATCATACGCTACGGTTCTCGGGTGGCCCGTTACTGGATCGTTCGAGGGTGGGTGGCCGAAATTTAACGACTGACGATCTCTGAGAGGCGACAGGTAAATGTTGAGTGGAATTAGCGTTCTTTCTTTCTTTAGTTCAATTTTTCTTTTTTTTTCGTTGATAGTGTCTTATTAGTTTTTCCTTCCTTTTTCTTTCTTTCTTTCTTTCTTTCTTTCTTTCCTTCTTTTTTCCTACTTTTCTTTCTTTTTTTCTTTCTTTCTTCTGCTTTGCTTTATTATATTTTTCTTTTTCCTTCCCTTCCTTTCTTTTTTGTTTTTGTACTAATTTTTCTTCTATCTTTCTTTTTTCAGGTTTGCAAATTTTTATTCCCCTTCCTTAAATTTTTTTTTTTTTCCTTCTTCCTTTCTTTCTTTCTTTCTTTCTTTTCTTTTTTTTTTCTTTCTTTCTTCTTTCTTTCTTCTGCTTTGCTTTTTATTATTTTTTATTTTTTTCCTTCCTTCCGTACTAATTTTCTTCTTTCTTTTCTTTTCTTTTGTTTTTGTACTAATTTTTCTTCTTTCTTTTTCTTTCTTTCTTTCTTTCTTTTTCTTTCTTTCTTTCTTTTTTCTTTTCTTTCTTTCTTCTGATTTGTTTTATTACTAGTTTTCCTCCTTTCTTCCTTCCTTCTCTGTTTTTTTTTTACTAGTTTTTCTTTTTTCCTCCCTTCCTTCACTTCTTCCTTCCTTCCTTTCTTTCCTCTTCCTTTCTGTTTATTCTTTGTTTCTTATTCTGCTTTCTTTTTTTTCTGGTCTTTCTTTCTGTTTACGTTTCACTATATTTTCTTTTTTGTAAAATTTCTCTCTCGTAACTAATCTTCTTTCTTTTGTCATTGAAACTATTTCATTCTTACTTTTTCCTCTTTTTGTATTTATTCTTTCTTGCTGTATTATTTTGCTTCTTTCTTTCTTTCTTTCTTCATCCTTTCTTTCATTCATTATTTTATCTTCGGACATTTTGTCTTTCTTAAATTCTTTTACGTTTTATTTTTTTTCTTTACATTCTTTCTTTTTTTTGCACTCACTTTTTCTTCTTCCATTCTATATACATTCTTTCTTTATTTTATATCCACTTTCCTTCTCTTTTTTGTTTTTCCTCCTGCATCTTACTCTTTTCATCTTTTTTTTCTAATTTTTTTTTTCTTTCTTTCTTTTTTTTCTTTTTCTTTCTTTTTCTTTCTTTTTTTCTTTCTTTCATTTTTTCTTTTTCTTTTTTTCTTTTTTTTTTCTTTCTTTTTTTTTTTTCTTTTTTTCTTTCTTTCTTTTTCTTTCTTTCTTTTATACCCCAAATCTTCTTGCATGTAATTCTTTTCTTCTTTTATTTTTCTGAATTTTTTATTTTCGTCCTTAAATAGATCTTCCTTTTGTTTTTTTCTTTTTCCTTTTTTCTTTATTTTATTCTTTCTTTCCTTTCTTTCTTTCTTTCTTTCTTTCTTTCTTTCTTTTTTTTTTTTTTCTTTCTTTTTTTTTTTATACCCCAAATCTTTTCTTTCTTTCTTTCTTTTCTTCTTTTATTTTCTCTTTTGAATATTTTTCGTCCTTAAATAGATTTTTTTTTTTTCCTTTATACTATTTTCTTTTTTTTTTTATTTTATTGATTGATTTTCTTTCTTTCTTTCTTTCTTTTTTTCTTTCTTTCTTTCTTTTTATACCCCAAATCTTCTTGCATGCTTTCTACTTTTATTTTCATTCAGTAATTCTTTCTTTCTTTCTTTGAACATTTTTTCAGTTGATTATTTTTCTTTCTTTTTTCTTTTCTTGAAATTTTCTTGAAGTTATCTTCCTTTTTTGTTTTTTCTTGATTCATTGATTGATTCTTTCTTTCTTTCTTTCTTTCTTTCTTTCTTTCTTTCTTTCTTTTTTTCTTTCTTTCTTTCTTTTTATACCCCAAATCTTCTTGCATGCTTTTTTTATTTTTTTATTTTTTCTCTTCTGAATATTTTTTCGTCCTTAAATATTTTTTTCTTTTTTCCTTTATACTATTTTATTCTTACTTCCTCTTTCTTTTTTTCTTTCTTTCTTTCTTTCTTTAGATTTTTTTTTTTTTACTATTTTTTCTTTCTTTCTTTTTCTTTCTTTTTTTTTTATACCCCAAATCTTCTTGCATGCTTTTTATTTTTTTATTTTTCTTTTCTTTGAATATTTTTCGTCCTTAAATTTCTTTTTTTTTTTCCTTTTATTTTATTTTATTCTTACTTTTGATTTTTTTTTTTTTTTTTTTTTCTTTCTTTTCTTTTCTTTCTTTTTTTCTTTCTTTCTTTCTTTTTATACCCCAAATCTTCTTGCATGCTTTCTTCTTTTATTTTTCTCTTCTGAATATTTTTCGTCCTTAAATAGATTTTTCTTTTTCCTTTTATACTATTTTATTTTTTTATTGATTGATTGATTTTTCTCTCTTTTTTTTTTTCTTTTCTTTTTTTTTCTTTCTTTCTTTTTTTTTTACCCCAAATCTTCTTCCATGCTATTTTTTCTACTTTTATTTTTCATTCAGTAATTCTTTCTTTTTCTTTCTTTTGAACATTTTTTCAGTTGATTATTTTTTCTTTCTAGATTTTTTTTTTTTTTTTTTTTTTCTTGAAATTTTCTTGAAGTTATCTTCCTTTTTTTTTTTTTTCTTGATTCATTGATTGATTCTTTCTTTTTTCTTTCTTTCTTTCTTTTCTTTCTTTCTTCTTTTTTCAAATCTTTTTTCTTTCTTTTTTTTATTTTTTTGAATATATTTTTCGTCCTTAAATAATTTTTCTTTCTTTTTCTTTTTCCATGCTTTTTTTACTTTTTTTTTTCTTTCTTTTTTAATTTCTTTCTTTCTTTTTCTTTGAACATTTTTTTCAGTTGATTATTTTCTTTCTTTTTTTTTTTCTTTTTTTTTCTTTTCTTTGAAATTTTCTTGAATATTTTCTTCCTTTTTTTTTTTTTTCTTGATTCATTGATTGATTCTTTCTCTTTTCTTTCTTTTTTTTTTTTTCTTTCTTTCTTTCTTTTTTTTTTCTTTCTTTCTTTTTTTTGTTTTCCTTCAAATTTTCTTGCATTATTTTTTTCTTATTTTTTATTTTTCTCTTCTGAATATTTTCGTCCTTTCTTTTTAAATAAATCTTCTTGCATGCTTTCTTATTTTTTTTTTTCCTGAATATTTTTTATAACTATTTTTTATTCTTTTACTTCCTCTCTTTCTTTCTTTCTTTCTTTTTCTTTCTTTCTTTCTTTTTTTTTTTCTTTTCTTTTTTTTTCTTTTTATACCCCAAATCTTCTTAAATTTTTTTTTTTACTTTTATTTTCATTCAGTAATTCTTTTTTTTTTCTTTCTTTCTTCTTTTTTTTCAGTTGATTATTTTTTCTTAAATTTTTTTCTTTCCTTGAAATTTTTTTCTTCTTTTATCTTCTTTTTTCTTTTTTTCTTGATTTCTTTTTTTTTTTTCTTGATTTTGATTTTGATTTTTCTTTTTCTTTTCTTTCTTTTCTTTCTTTCTTTCTTTTTTTTTTTCTTTCTTTTTTATACCCCAAATCTTCTTGCATGCTTTTCTTTTTTATTTTTCTCTTCTGAATATTTTTCGTCCTTAAATAGATTTTCTTTTTTCCTTTTATATTTTTTTTTTTCTTTCTTCCTTTCTTTTTCTTTCTTTCTTTTTTTCTTTCTTTCTTTCTTTTCTTTTTCTTTCTTTTTTTTTCTTTCTTTAGATTTTTCTTTTTTCGAACATTTTCGCCCCTTAAATAGATTTTTCGTTATCCTTTAAACTCTTTTATTCTTTCTTTCTCAGGTTTGTTTTATTCCCCAAATCTTTTTCATTCTTCCTCCTTTGTTTTCTTTCTTTCTACGTTTTTTTTTTAAATTGTATTTGGTCTTTATTTTATTAATTTATTCATTCCTCGAAAGTTTTCTCAATTGATCATTCTTTTTTCTTCTTTCATTCTTTCTTTCTTTCTGCATTTAAGAGCAATCTTTTATTTCATTTGGTTCTTTTTCGTTTATTCATTCATTTTCTCTTTCTTTCTTTCCTTGAACGTTTTCTCAATTCAGTTTCTTATCCTTTTAATTCTTTCATTCATTCTACATTTTTTAAATTTCTCTTATGTTGTATTTGATTTTTTTTTCATTCAGTAATTCTTTAATTTTTTTCTTTCTTTGAACATTTTTTCAGTTGATTATTTTTTCTTTTTTTTTTTCTTTCCTTGAAATTTTCTTAATTCAGTTATCTTCTTTTAATTCTTTTTTTTTGTTTTTTCTTGATTGATTGATTGATTTTTTTTTCTTTCTTTCTTTTCTTTATTTTTTTCTTTTTCTTTCTTAATGTCTACCCACTCCCTCACTCTTTCTTACTTCCAAATTCCCGTTCCTTTTTTTAATTTCTTCATGACATCACTTTTTTTTTTATTTGCTAATAGCTTTATTTTATCCACCACCTTCCTTCCTTCCTTCCTTCCTTCCTTCCTTCCTTCCTTCCTTCCTTAATATCTACTCACTCCATCACTCTTTCTTACTTCAGAATTTCCCGTTTCTTTCTTTAATTTCCTAGTGCCATCACTCCTTTTTTCTTTGCTAGTAGCTATACATGCCTTTCTTTTTTCCTTTCTTTCTTTCTTTTTTTCGTTCTTTCTTTCGTTCTTTCTTTAACCTTTTTTTTTAATGTATATTTCTCCCACCTATCCTTTCTTTTTCTTCACGAATTTTCTTGAATTTCCCACTTCTCTTTCCTTTGGATTTCTTTCCACTACCTTTATTTCTTTCGTTTTCTTCGCTTTATTTTTAATTTTTTCTTTTCTTTTTTTCTTTACTCTTTCATCCTCTGATCTCTTTCACTAAGAATATTTCTAATGTTCTTTCATTCCTTTCTTCATCCTTTACCTATTTCCCTCTTCACTCTTTCATTCCTGGTAACCCATAATTCACGTATTGCAGTATGAAATTCTTCTTTTCACTCCTTCACTGGTTTCATTCTTTTACACTTTGTTTGTTTTGTATTACAGTTTGCTTCTTCTCATTCGTTCTGACATTCTTTCTATCATTTTATTTCATTCTTTTATCTCTTTTTTATTTCTTATCTTTTTCATTCCTTTTTATTTTATTTTAATTGTTCCTTTTTTTTTTGGTTTTACCCTTTTCTTCTTTCTTTTATCTTTCTTTTTTCTTTTCTTTCTTTAGTCTTCTTTCTATTTTCTTTCTTTTTTCTTCTTTTTCTTTTTTTTTTCTTCTTTCTTTTTGCTTTCTTTTCCTTCTTACTTTTTCCTTCTTACTTCTTTCTTTCTTTTCTTCTTTCTTTTATCTTTCTTTTTTTCTTTTCTTTCTTTAGTCTTCTTTCTATTTTCTTTCTTTTTTCTTCTTTTTCTTTCTTTTTTCTTCTTTCTTTTTGCTTTCTTTTCCTTCTTCCTTTTTCCTTCTTACTTCTTTCTTTTTTTCTTTCTTTTTTCTATCTATTTCTTCTTTCTTATTTTAGTCTTCTATTTTCTTCTTACTTTTTCTTTCTTTTTCTTCTTTTTCTTTCTTTTTTTCTTCTTTCTTTTTGCTTTCTTTTCCTTCTTCCTTTTTCCTTCTTACTTCTTTCTTTCTTCTTTCTTTTTTCTATCTATTTCTTCTTTATTATTTTAGTCTTCTATTTTCTTTTTACTTTTTCTTTCTTTTTCTTCTTTTTCTTTCTTTTACTTACTTTTTCTTTTTTATATTTTTTCTTTTCTCTTTTTTCTTTTTTGTTTTTTCTTCTTTCTTTTTCTTTCTTTTTCTTTCTTTTTTCTTCTTTTTTTCTTTCTTTTGTTTACTTTTCGTGTTCTGTTTTTATAATTGTTTTTCGATTTAATTTCTTTTTCTTTTCTTTTTCTATTTTTTCTTCTTTTCGCTTTTACTTTTGCTTATTTCTTATTTTTATCATTGCTTCTTTTTGTTTGTTAGTTTCTTTTTTCTCGTTCATTTGTTCTTTCTTTTACTATATTCACTTACATTTTATCTTTTCTGTTCTTTCCTCTTTCATTCTTTCTTTCTTTTTCATTTTTTCTCCTTTGTTATATTCACCAGCATTTTTTTTTGTTTTCTTCTTTTTTGTGCCAACTTTCTTTCTTTCTTTCTTTCTTTCTTTTTTCTTTCTTTCTTTCGTTACACTCACCTGCATTTCTTCTTTTATTCATTTCCTCCCCTTTCCTTTGTTTGTTTCTTTTTTCTTTCTTTTTTCTTTCTTTTTTAAACAATCCTATCCCGCTTGATTACACTATCCTCTAAAAGCACACCACTATCTTATGCAACGTATTTGATAGACAACAATACAAAAGACGCATCATTAAACAATGTTACCTTGTTTTATATCGCACATAAATTTTCATTTTATTTCTCTCTTTTGCTTTTTCATCTTGGGAAAGATACACACCTTTGTCCGCATCGAAACAGCCTTTAAGATCTTCAGTAATCCAAACGGGACCCAATTGTATCCACTTAACTTTCCCAAAAGTTCTCGGAACTAAGTTAACTCTTTGCTCGTCGATATTCTACAGGTACCTTTAAAAAATCACGTCAATCCAAAAGATATACGGCTCATATAAAAATATCGCTTTGTATCAGGTGAATGCTTTGTCGTCGTCGTTATAATCGTGTTGTGTTCCTTCAGGACTGGTCGATCATTGTCCTCCACAATTTCCTATCTAATCTAATTATGTACAATAATGAATCATGTGTAATATAGGTGAACGATTCAATTAGAAAAATTGAAAATAAATATAATAATAATGTTTAAATAAAATTAGAGTTGGCTCCCTGAGCCGCGCTAGGAAGTTTTTCTCCCCGGAGTCGATCCTCCAGATCTACAAATCAACAATTCGCCCTTGCATGGAGTATTGCTGCCATATATGGTCTGGTGCCCCTTCTGTTTGCCTCGGGTTTCTTGATAGGCTCCAGAGGCGGATATGCAATGTGGTTGGCCCTGCCCTGGCGTCACGTCTACAGTCACTTTCTCACAGACGCGCCGTCGCCTCCCTCTGTCTGTTCTACAAATACTTTCATGGAAATTGCTCCGAAGTGGCTTCCCGCCTTTCTTGGGGTGAAATGCTTAAAAAAAAAAAAATGTCATAATAGATCATTCGTAGGGCACCTCGGCGTTGGTGTAATGGTTTGCAATCTTGTTTCGCTAGATCAGTTACGACTGAAAAGTGAGTTCGTTTCTTATTAGGTGCCCCATACTTTCGGCCTTGTGTCACATCTAAGCTACGCTTAGAAAATAACCATGATAGATCATTCGTTCTTAGATAAATCAACAATGTTTTTTGCTGCAATTGAGATTTTCCTTGTTAAAAAGTTGAATAATTTAGCACATTCAACATTATGAATAAAAAATAGAGAATTATATATAGTGTTTTTCCGAGACTTAGCAAAACAAATTCAGACATTTAAACGAAAGAAAAAAATCACAGAATAACGTCAAAATCCACAAAAATTAATCCTTTAATAGTCAATTGTGCTTAGTTTAATTTGCAACGTTTATGAATGCCGGTAGAAAAATTGAAAATAAATACGATGTATTTAAATACAAATCAGAGACATGTCGTAATTAATCACTCAATAAATTAAATAATTCAACAATGTTTTGTGACAGTTCTTAAAATCAACTTGAGATTTCCTTTGTTAAGAAGTTGAATAATTTTAACACACTCAACATTATGGCTGAAAAACTAGCAAATTTGATATAGTGTTTTTTCGAGACTTAACATGAGTAAAAAATTCGCTGATTTGGACTAAAAACAAAAGACCCAGTATGACGTCAAAATCCCGCGAAAATTGATCATCCTTTAATAGTCAGTTGTGCTTAGTTTAATTTTGCAACGTTTATGAATGTCGGTAGAAAAAGCAAGACATTGATAAGATAGCAAATGTAAGAAAGCAATCAAAGATAGTAAGCACCGTCCCTGATTGTCCCTGATTGTCCCTGATTGTCCCTGATTGTCCCTGATTGTCCCTGATTGTCCGGCAAGATTCCTTTGGTTACATTCTTGTATTCTATAGAGAACTTAAACTTTGAATCAGTTCAAAGTAGCAACATGTTTAATGGTTCAAAGAAGCGAAATATCACAGAAAAAATGTATCAATTATTATTATTATTATTTCCTTTGATTTCTGATGTGTACATATTTCTTTCCGGGTCCCGCCGAGACACCTAAAGTTAGAAATGGCATCATGACATTTTCTATTGACCAATAAAAGAAGGGAGGGACCACAAACATATTTTACTGAGATAAAGCCCTTCTTAAGGAGTAGGTTGTATTTGTGATAACAATTGCTTGTATTTCTTTAAGGCATGGACTTCCAGGAATCCCTTCAATTAGTCTACTGGAATCTTTTACAACCAATCCGAGGGCTCCAACAGGAATTGTTGATGTTCCCATGTGCCACATTTTTGAGATTTCGATTTCAAGGTCCTTGTATTTTGACAGCTTTTTTGAATATCTTCAAAGATACATTGCAGTCTGCAGGGGCTGCCATATCAATAAGGAGGCACATTTTTTGTTTGTGGTCTTTAATAACAATGTCTGGGCGGCTAGCTTTGATTGTTTTAATATTATTTTTATTATTATTATTATTATTTCTTTGGATTTCTGTTGTATACATATTTCCTCCCGGGTCCCAATTTAAAGGCAGAAATGGCTTCACGACAAACAAACATACAAAAACAAGATCACATATATTTTACATTTCTTTAAGGCGTGGACTACCAAGAATCACTTCAATGAATGGTCGGACTATTTTCCAATCAAACCGTGGGCTCCAAATACAACTGGGATTATTGATGTCCTCAAAGGCCACATTTTTTTAGATTTCCACTTCAAGATTCTTGTATCTTGATAGTTTTTTGAAGATCATCAAAATTCACAAAAATTAATTCTTTAATAGTCAGTTGCGATTAGTTTAATTTGTAACGTATATGAATGTAGGTAAAAAATCAAAACGTTGGTAAGATTGCGAGGGTCACAAAGCACTTTCCGATGCCCGCAATCAGTCTTGCACCTCTGGTCGGGGGTTTCGGCGTTGGTACACACTGACCCTGGTCATCTACATATCTTATGTTATTAAGATGGCGACTGTTAATAATGAATCTTGGTAGGCTTTCTAATTTTCTCAGAATCACCGCACTGTTAATTTTGAATAAATCCGGTGAGAAGAGGCATCCTTGTCTTATGCCTTCGTTAGAAGAAACTTGGGTAAATATTTGTTCATTATTCGGTAGTCTTGAACTGCCAAAAAACAATTATTCCTAAAGATAAATGATTTCTAGTCATACACTCATAATGTCGAAGTGATTTTTTTTATTTCTTAACCCGACAGATTTTTATTACTCAACTTTACTTGATCGGCGATGAAATCCGTGATAGAGACGGTATAAGCACGTCGGATTGAACGACGATTTCTTCTGCCAAGGGGGACGCAGGTTCGAGTCCTGCCGGAGAGCAGATATCTCTCTTTAATAAAATTACTCGAATAATCAGGCTGGATAGCACATAGAACAAAAATCAAAGTGTAGTATCTGTTCTCCTCATCTCTACTGGTAGTGACAATGTCAGTCATTTCCGCATTCGGCATTCTTTGACCGAGCAACAAGTGTTCCTCCCGTGACGCTTTTCTTCATTACTTGGTCATCAGACTAAGATCAAAGTGTAATATCTGTTCTCATTTCAAATAGTAATGATAATATTAGTCATTTCTGTGTTTTTTCCTTATAAGGAAACATTCGTCATTCATTGACCGAGCCGTTAGTGATACTTTCGTCACTTCTTAAATATACTAGTCCACTTGTAAAAAAAGAATGGTGGGAAGAAAATAATCTTTATAGATTTGCATTTTTTAAAACCTGGCTTAGGCTTCGACACGCATCAGAATAGGAGAATAATGATGTTTTTTTTTATCATTTTAAAAGGGGAGAGTTCCGTTATTGGATTTATTAGTTCTACGTACAAACTTTAATAATTTCTCTTACGGCCTTCTTTCCTAATCTTTTATTTGAAGTTGTGGGAAACGTCAGCATCTTGATTATGTCATTATTTTCTCTTCAAGTTACATATTCTATCCATTTTAGTTGTTGATTCTAATGAAAGAGCTCAAGTGATGTGGTACCCATCATGTGGCACAATTCTTTGTAGTGGGGGGGGGCAGTAAATATTAAGCGTAGTATCTGTTCTCTTCCCAATTTAGGCCGGTTGACAATAATTTCACTGTTTAATAAAATAAAAACACGGATAGCAACTGAAACATGTGTACTCACGAAAAATAACGTTTTTAGTAATATATATATATATATATATATATATATATATATAGTCAGTTGTATGGGTATGAGTGAAGCCCATGGTAACACATCGCGAAAATTAGACAAACTGGTTTATTTTTAAAATTTGGATCTATTTATGCTTGTTTGACAATGTTTGGTGGTAGGAGGGGAAATCTACTTCTGTGTTTGTTTGGGGTGACACTCTCATATGCACAGACACACATACATACAGGTGTACGCATTTTAGTTCACACAAACAAGTCGATATATATATATATATATATATATATACGAATAAAGACATGGTATATATATATATATATATATATATATATATATACGAATAAAAGACATGGTATATATATATATATATATATATATACGAATAAAGACATATATATATATATATATATATATATGTATATATATATATATATATATATATATATATATATATATATATATATATATATATATATAAACATATATATATAACATGGTATATATATACACACACACACACACACACACACACACACACATATATATATATATATATATATATATATATATATATATATATATATAAAAGTAATCTTAAGAGGTCAAGCAAACCTACCTAGGTTTCACCTAAACGGATCTTCAAGGTAAAGCCAGCTGCCCTGAAGATCTGTTTTGAAACCTAGGTAGGTTTGCCTAATTACTTAAGATTACTTTAGGTTATCGCTCTACTTAGTGTATTGAGCACTTTACGTTGTTGTCTTTTACCCTTTTTACTTGTTTTGAGTTTTTTCTTCTTTGGACTTAGAGCTTAAACACTGGATGATTATTTTCGACTTGTTTTAATGTTCTTGGTTCTTTCTTTTTTTATTTGCCAATTTTCCCCAGGTACTTATTTGTTCTATTTCAAGTTATCCGAGGTTTTTCCAAACGAGTACCACCATATCTATCTATCTATCTATCTATCTATCTATCTATCTATCTATCTATCTATCTATCTATCTCTCTCTCTCTCTCTCTCTCTCTATATATATATATATATATACACACACGAATAAATATGAAGAAATACAAAAAGAAAACTTATCTTAGCCGACGTAGTTCATCCTCTAACGGACTTTGTGAAGGCAAATGTGATATTTTATTTTGCAACAAGCAATACAAGTAAAAATGTTGTTAGCCAACAAACAATACTATGAAAATGTTAAAAAATAAGTTTATCCTATGATAAAATAATTTAAATATTAACGGAAAAATAATCGGCAATATCATTTACTCCCTTTTGTTTATTAGACATTAAATTATATCACTTAGCATCTTCCATAATTTCCCGAGACTTTTCTGTTAAGCTGATGACTATGAGTGTCTCTTAAATTTTGAAAAAGTTTATAAAGTTCGTTAGAGGACAAAACGCGTCGGCTGAGATAAGTTTTCTTTTTGTCCTTATTATATTTTTTCCTTTTACGGACATTGTACTTTGTCGTTATACATGAATTTTTTGCACACACACACATATATATATATATATATATATATATAATTTTATTTGCGCATAGACGACACTTTCTCATAGGTTAAGTCGTCACTTCTCGAATATTATATAGAAGAATTCATGCAGATATCGATCAATTAAGCAACCAAAATACAACTTTCAACATATGACGTATATTAGTAGATAAATACGAGACAGCACTGAAAAAAAAGGCCACAAATGCTCGAAGCTATTGCAAACAACTCGCTACAATAAAACATCCTTCACCGCGGGCGACGGCGTTTTGCTATGTGCATAAAATATTTAAAAAGGCGTATAAAATACTTTCATTATTTACATGCGGACTATTGTCCTCATTTTGTTGTTGTTATCAGAACGTTTCGGTAGTTGTATCCTCCAGCCTTCATCAGGTTTATGTCGATTCGTGTAACCTACAGGAAATTTTGAACTGAACTCTTTATTTAATCTTAAGGGGTATACTGTTCTCGTTCCACTGCCCAATTCTAGGGATATCTCATCTAATTCTTATTTTACTACTGTTCAGTTATTGCTCACCACGTTTCCACTGAGTTCAAACACACCGCCCAGCCCAGGGATTGAACTCACGAATACGCCGTCACCAAATTCATAAAATGAAAGGAAGACCTTTTTCTTTTTCATTTTTAAATAAGTTATCCTAATGTTCCTGCAGTTGTAATTTTCTGGAGGCTAACAGAGATTGTAGAAAGATTTCATCATGATTATTTACCAAAGCGCATTCGGTCAAGTTATCCGCCATTTTCTACTGCAATCTTGTTTATATGTTTTATTTAAAAATAAATTGTCTTTTAGTTTGTATGGTGTGGAAATAGCCAAAATTCTAAGCAATTTTCGAAGAAATAGGATTGTGATACTGTGAACATTGAATATCATATACACGGGTTACACAAAATAATGTGAACACTTGGCTTAAACATTTATTTATTGTCTAATAAGGTGTTGGATCACCATTAGCCTTTAAAACTGCTTTGATTCTAAGTTTTGAATTGTTTCCAGTGGAATTTTATCGCATTCTTCAATCAAAATCTTGGGAAGTTGCTTCAGCGGCGATGGGCGTGGAGGAATCCGTTCCTCACTCTCTGCTTTAGAACTTCCCATAATGGTTCATTTGTGTTGAGATCAGGTGATTGTGTTGTCCTTGGAAGATGTTTAATCCCGTTATGATGCTCATCAAAACATGACTTCACTTTTTTTGCAGTGTGTGTGGGTGCATTATCGTCTTGAAATAAGGCCCTTTCTGGCAAGTTCAAAAGTTTGAGGCCGACCACAGAATTAGCATGGAATGAAATTGACAAATGAGTGAAAAAGAAATGAAAAAGAGCTGTCAGAGTCATTGAAAAAACAAAATGGCATCAATTATCAAACTTATACTTTGAGAAATTTTTGCAACGAATGCCAAAGATTTGTGCTGCAGTCATCAAGGTTAAAGGAGAATATTTCGACGAGAGCAAAATTTAACTAAGAAATGTTTTTTTTTTTTGACATAATAAAATTTCTAATAAAAAAATCATATCATAGACGCGATATAGCACCGCTACTCAAAAATTCAGTTTCTCCTTCGTCACCGAGGCCCGTTGGTACAGTTGGTATGACGCTTGCTTGTATCGAAACGATCCGGGTTCGATTCTTGGTAGTGGATTCGTACTGCTGATGAGCCCCAAATACTATGAAACGGCCGTCCAGTGCTTTCTGCATTCTGTTGAGGAGGATTCTAGACTCGATGAATTACTCTCTCTCTCTCTCTATATATATATATATATATATCTATCTACACACACATGCTAGCAGTATAACCCGTCTTCGACGGGATGTTTCATTACTGGCAATTGGAGCAGTTTAAGTTTAAAGTCAACCCACCCCCAAATCAATATTAATAACAACAATTGGGTGCAACTGAGGCACATCCCCAAATGGGTTGGGTTAACAATTTGAATGGAGGTGGCCCTGAAAAGGGCCGTTATTGTGTTCTCAATCATGTTTTAGTCTCGAGCGCAGCAGCGTTTGAAGAGGCGTTTCTCTTCAGCTGTTGAGTTCTTTGATCATCATTTTCAGCCTCGCGCGCAGAAGCGTTCGGATGAAAACTGTGGAAATGCATAAACAACACCCGATCACACACACACACACACACACACATTTTGAGAATTATAGATATAGATAATATTGTTGTAACAATTTAAACTATTTTCTATTAAAGTTTTTTTTTTTATATATATATATATATATATATATATATATATATATATATATATATATATATATACATCCAAGAACACATAGTAAATAGTAAAACGTTGCAGGGAAGAAGTGGTGAGCCATTGTCGCCAACAATTTGAACTCAAAACCGGCACTGAAGAATTATCTATCAAACAAAAAAATTTCATCGAAATCGAATGAAAACTGTGAAACGCATAAACAACATCTGATCACACACACACACACATACTCACGCACAAATACACACGCACACATACTCACGCACATACATACACACGCACATACGTACACACGCACACATACATACATACATCTTGAGAATTATAGATATAGATATATAATGAAAACGAACACTTAACAGACCATGGTGATATTTATTTCGTTAGAATCGAAGATTCGATCCCGACTCTTACAAATATCTATCTGAAGAGTTGAGCCCAAATCTTCGATTCTAACGAAATAAATATCACCATGGTCTTTTACGTGTTCGTTTTTATTATAATAATTATTATTTACTCTGTTTTTTACATTGAGCTCTCTGCATTAAATATCCTTTTTTTGGATTGCAAAATTATATATATATATATATATAATATATATATATATATATATATATATATATATATATATATATATATATATATATATATATACAGAGAGACAGAGAGACAGAGAGAGAAAAAGAAAGAGAGAGAGTTAGAGAGTGAGAGCATGTCAGCTCTAACAGCGGTTTCTCTTGCAAAGTGGTACGCAGATTCGGAGGGCATATTTTTTCTTAGTAAGGCTATTTGAATATTTAGGCCGGTAGGCGACAGTATAATAAATATACTGTTTAATAAATAAACGAAGAGTCTACTCAAATTCGATTATCCACTGAAAATAACGTTTAAAGTCATAAAATTTGTCAGATTAATAAATAGAAAATCCATGACTTCTTTTGAAATTTGTTTTGTTTACGTTCGCATACGAAACAGTGCAGATATGAACTTTTGAGAATCTCTGAAGGATTTGCGCTTATAAGGAACTCTTCGGTTTTGTTTGATCGACAACGTATTCCACTTTTTAAGTCGGTCTAGAACATGTCACATCTCACGACGGTTTCTCCTGCCAAGAGGGACGCAGGTTCGAACCCAGCCGGAGAGCGCATATTTTTCTGTAATAAGATTTCTCAAATATTCAGGCTGAAAAACGAAAATAAATAAATATACTGTTTAATAAATAAACTGTGCTTCTATTCAAATATCGGTATCCACTAAAATAACGTTTAAAGTGATTATATATATATATATATATATATATATATATATATATATATATATATATCTGTGTGTGTGTGTGTGTGTGTGTATTGAATCGTGTTTAATTGTCACTGATTATCTGAGCTATGCATTTCAGTCAAATCCTGAAAAAATAGCCCTACTATATTTTCAACAAATTACTTCGCTTAACGTAGCCATCAAATCGCTTAATTGGACCAGCGTAGTCAAACTAAGATTACATTTTTGTTCGCTATTACACTCATCTTAATCGGTCATAGGTATTCTATGCTCTCTACCTGCCAATATATTAAGTTGGGGTAATTTGCTTCGTCAATGTATACAAAATATTCATCTTCAAAAATAATGATGAGATTAACTAGGAACTGTGATATATATATATATATATATATATATATATATATATATATATATATATATATATATATATATAAAATAAAAACAGACCACTTTAAGGTTCCATGTAATAAATTATTTCACCACAGCCCTTTTAAAAGGACTGCGGATCATCAGACTTTACTTCCAAACAAAAAATGAAAAGAAAATTTAAACATTTTTGACGGGCCGTATTTAACATATGTAAATTAACGAAGTGAGGAAGTGAGGGTGAAAGAGAAGACATGAGTGAGTTAGCAGATATTGACACATTTAAACGGTTAACTTAACGGAAGTTATATATTGAAATCGAAGGGCTAGAGAAGAAAAAACTTATAGAGAGAAAGAAAAGAGAGAAAGAAATTAAGAGAGAAGAGAAGATGTCACTAATTTTCTTTGTAAAAAAGCTAGAAACAGACGCTGTTATTTTGTTTTACTTTGAAAGTGTTATTTTGGGGGTCCATAAAGATTATTATATATATTATATATATATATATATATATATATATATAGAGAGAGAGAGAGAGAGAGAGAGAAATATAATCTTAAGGTATGCTATATTTATGGGATAAAGTGCTCAATATCAGAGGTAGAGAGTGTGTAAATATAAAAGTGAACAGTGAAGTCAACACTTAGAGGCGCCAAGCTGTTTCATACTAGATGCAGTCGCCAGGCCTGACGATTGTGTCTAGCATGAAACAGCCTGTCGCCTCTGAGCGTTGACTTCAAGTTTTATATATATATATATATATATATATATATATATATATATATATATATATATATTGATTACATTATTTTATGGAAGAGGATAATGAAGGCAATCCGTTACCTTTATTAGATAAGACATTGACTTTTCTTCAAATTCTGGACGATTGATTAGAACATTGCTGTTCTGTAAATGATACCCGGGTTCGAATCAAGTATTATCATCAGCTTTGACAGACGATTCTATTGAATGGTAGCCTTGAGAAATGCCTGAAAACGATATCACGGTTTGATCCAAGATTTGCGAGTGAAATGCGTAGGTGCGATTTTCAAAGAGCGAGAATTGACGTTTGCCTCTTTTGTCAGGAAATTTATTTTTGGAAATGAGAAAACCGATTACTAAGATATAACTTCTTTGGATAAATATCTTTGCAGGATATAGGCACGGCATTTAACCATTTACTTAGTTTGGCAAGAGAAGAGTGTGATTTTTGGTGTTTCCACTTGATTAAACAAAAGACAGCTTTTAACAAAAATAAATTAAAAAATACAGTAGAATCCCTCATATCCAGAATCCCTCATATCCAGAATCCCTCATATCCAGAATGCCGCATATCCGGACATGATTTTGATTATTTTATTATTTATTATTCTTTTTATTTTCTTTGATTTCTGGCGTTTACACATTTCTTTCCGGGTCCCGCCCAGGGACCTAAGGTTAGAAATGCCGTCATGACACTTTCCACTGACAAAAAAAAAAAAAAATTAATGACATAGATAAAGCCCTTCGTAAGGTGTGGGCTGTTCTTGTCAGAACAATTTATTGTATCTCCTTGAGGCATGGATTTCCAGGAATCCCTTCAATTAGTCTACTGCAATCTTTTCCAACCAGTCCTAGGGCTCCAACTACAACAGGGATTGTTGATGTTCCCATATGCCACATTTTCGAGATTTCTATTTTAAGGTCCTTGTACTTTGACAACCTTTTGAATATCTTCAAAGATACATTGCAGTCACTAGGGACTGCCATAGCAATAAGGAGGCACCATTTTTGTTTGTGGTCTTTAATAATAATATCTGGCCGGTTGGCCTTGATTTTATTATTATTTTTATTATTATTATTATTATTATTATTATTATTATTATTATTATTATAAACTTTCGGGAATTATTCAGATGTTTTCTTGTATCATAGTCAGTTCTATTTAGTTATGTCCAGAGTAAGAAATTCAAGTGGACCATGATAATAAGAACGTTGTAAAATAGACGTTTTGCTGAAAATGTTTTGTTTTTTCCAAACTTCCCTACGACCCAATAAATGCAACGGAGTGAAACAGAATGAAAAGACTTTAGGAAAAGGAGCCGGAAATCCAATTCTAAACAGGAAACAAGGGATAAACCTCTACTCCTGTTTAAAAGACAGCGAAGGTGTGTGATCCGGGCGATAGGCGAACCTGTCAGAAATCTTAGCGAGTTAAGAGAACTTCTCTTAGAACTTCTCGGACTAACAATTTTCCGCTGACATAAAGTGGAAAGATTATATTGAATCAGTTGCAAGGTCGGCTGCTAGGAAAGCTAGTTCCCTGCGTCGTGTTAAACAAGTTTTCTCTCCAGAATCTAGCTTACATACTTATAAATCTACTATTGTCCATACTTTGAATATTGCTATCACATCTGATCTAGTGCTCCTGCTATATATTTAGAGATTCTTGATAAAATCCAAAGAAGAATCTGAAATGTTATCGGTCCTGACCTGGCATCTCGGCTTCAGTTACTTTTCCACCGCCGTAACGTATCTTCCTTCTAACTTTTCTATAAATACTTCCATGGTAATTGTTCTGAAGAAGATTCCTCTATGGCAGCTAGACTTTACGAATTTATCCGCAGTACTATATTGAGAGCAATGTCTCGTCATCTTACAGTTGAAGCAGCTAGATATAATCGTTCTATTAGTATCTTCTTCGACATTTCTCGCTCGCGGGTCTCTCTTCTGGCTTCTTGCTTCCTACTCAACTTTGATCTTCAAAAATTTAAAATGGCACTTAAATTAAGGGACAGACTATTAACTACTTTCAGGGTAAGGACTTTATAACCTGAGGAAACTCTCCCAGTGAATTCATAGCTTGAGAGCTTGAGCAGTAACTCGTTATGACACACTTTGCCAAAGATCTTTGAAACATCTAATTCGACCATCCTTGAGATGTATGTGTTGTCAAATACCTCAGTAATTCTATGAGTAATCGCAGGATATCAGCAGTGGACCGTAGAGATCGAAACCCGTACTGCTTGTCGCTCAAGAGGTTGTACCTATTGAGGTGATCAATAAACTTTTTGTTGATTATATCTTCAAAGAGTTTGTTAATGACGCTGAGGAGACTTATAGGTATATACTGTGAAGAGGATGAGTGCTCACCCCATTCTTGAAAACTGAGCATACACATGACACCTTCCACAGGGAAGGATTTCTTCATCAAACAACAGTTAAATAATTTTGCTAGGATTGGATCAGCGTTAATATTCTTAAGGACAACTACCGGGATATTTTGTAAAAGATCACTTTTGTGTTCATATTATCTTTTATTTACATTTCTTGACGTTTCCCCGATATATTTCTTATGGCAATTATTACGAATAATAGAGTAAATTCCTCCTTCAAGTTTTAGTTTATTCTTTTGTTCTGTATTAATATAGTCATTTATTGTTTTGGACGTAGTTGTGACAACTTTTATGCTAAGTTTAGATAAATACATTTCAGTTGTAGTTGTGATAGGGTTGGGCAGAACGATAATATAAAAAAAAAATAATATATGATAAAAAATATCTATATATAACAAAAAAATGCTACTCTAAAAGAGAAAAAAAATTACTATAAAAAGAATGTTTAGAAAGTACTTTAATAGCTTCAATTTCCGTCCCGGTTCTTACACCGTTTCGTCATCTTTGGCAGATCTTGTTATTACAAGGTGGGATATTTAATAACAAAGATGATGGAAACATAAGCAAAAAGAATCTAAACGGAAATAGTTTTAAACTGAAAATCGTTCTTGCGCATGCGTAGTCGCATCAACGTAAACATAAACTTAGTCCAATGAAGTCCTAAATGACGAAACTTTTTCCACTTTGTTATACTTATTTCCCATATATATATATATATATATATATATATATATATATATATATATATATATATGATTTAAATTTGGATGAGAATCTAACAGAATGGTTATGGTAAGACAATTCGGAAAACTACTATTTTAATTTGGTTCGCTTATCAAAGAGTGTCATCAGGTAAATTAAAAATATAAAATACGCTTTTGCGAAGACGCCATTTAATCGGTGAATCATAGCAAGAACTAATTTTACATGCATATATATATATATATATATATATATATATATATATATATATGCGTGTGTGTGTGTGTGTGTAAGAGTGGACAGTGCCGACATTCTATTTCATGCTTGAATGCGATCTTCATTCTTGAAACATGAAACAGACTGTCGTTACTCGGTACTGACCTCAGTGTCCACTCTTATATTTACACAGTGGCTATCTCTGAGATTGAACATTTTTATAAATAAATATACCATACCATATAACTATAATTTTATCATATATATCTGTGTGTGTGTGTCTGTGTGTCTGTGTGCGTGTGTCTGTGTATTTGAGTAGACGGCCTGTATCTCTTGAGTAGTCTTAATTCATACTGTTAAAAAACAAAGCGTCCAATTAAATATGAGTATCCACAAAATAACGTTTACAGTATAAGTACATTTCGCATAAGGATAATATTGATTCCTTAGAATGTGTGTGGGGGGGGATGTGCCTTTGCGAGGGCCTGCTGAAAAGTTTTTGGTCCTAACTCGACCAAGGGAATTAAAAAGAAACTTCTGATGTTTTGCCAGTTGTGCATTCATACATGAGGCTAATTCAATATTCAATGGCGAGAAACTGCTTCTCCACGGTAGGTGCTCTAAATATCTACTCCAGTAGTTTTTAGGCTTGAGTACGAAAAAAAAAAAAATTATGGACAACGTATAGGATTCAAAATAATGATCACTTGCAAATACGCCTTGATAAACACTGCACTCTGATGACAACCCATAAAAAATGGATTGACGGATGAACAACAGATAAACAAAAAAAAAAAAACAAAAGAACAAACAGACAGAAAGTAGAAAAATAAATAAAAAGACTGGCATAAGATAGATAGATAGATAGATAGATAGATAGATAGATAGATAGATATGCACAGAGATAGATAGATAGATAGATAGATAGATAGATAGATAGATAGATAGATAGATAGATATGAGCAGTCTGAGATAGACAGATAGAAAGATAGATGTGAACAGTCTGAGATAGATAGATATGAACAGACTGATATATATATATATATATATATAGAGAGAGAGAGAGAGAGAGATAGATAGTTTCATAAATAGATATGAACAGTCTGAGATAGATAGATAGATAGATAGATAGATAGATAGATAGATAGATAGATAGATAGATATGAACAGTCTGAGATAGAAAGATAGATATGAACAGTCTGAGATAGATATGAACAGACTGATATATATATAGAGAGATAGATAGATAGATAGATAGATAGATAGATAGATATGAACAGTCTGAGAGAGATAGTTTGATAAATAGATATGACAGTCTGAGATAGATAGATAGATAGATAGATAGATAGATAGATAGATAGATAGATAGATTAAGACGAGTCATAGAAAAGAGTGGAACGACAGGCGGGAGATAAATCTAATATTTACACACACATACATACATACATACATACATACATACATACATACATATATATATATATATATATATATATATATATATATATATATATATATATATATATATATTTAACTCTGTCGTATTCCTTTCAACGTACCCAGTTACTGAAGCAAATGCAATCAATTGCAATTTATGGGACATAAACATGTCATACGGCAGCGAGAAATGTCCATTTTATTGTTTCTTTCATCGTCCAACCGTAAAGCCCGTTCAATGTAGTCGAACAAAATGATGCATAATTTAGTTGCGAAAGTCGTCGAAAGGTGAGAAAAGAAAATAATAATTCGAATAAATTGTTTCAAAATCGCTTTAGTCTAGAAATGGGTTCAACTGTAATAAATTAATTTTCTTTTCTTTTTCAAAATTTCCATGCGAATTAGAAACGTGTATGTAAGTGTCACCTGCATTTTGTAATTCTTTGTTTTTGTGCAGAAATAAATATTTGCTCAGAAAAACATTGAGCGATTAGGGAAAAAGATCTTAGGGAAAATTACGAATCAGTATCAATTGAGAGGCATGAGAATATAAATATGTAGACAAGTAGACATAGATAGATGGATGGATAGGTAGATTATCTATCTATCTAACTATCTATCTATATATATATATATATGTCTTATTGTTATTTATTTGTAATAGCATGGGAATAGACTGAGATAGCTAGCTAGCTAGCTAGCTAGCTAGCTAGATACAGATACATACATACATACATACATACATACATACATACATAGGAATGGACTGAGTCATAGATTGAGATAGAATTATATATAAGAATAGACTGAGATAGATAGATGAGACTAGATTAGATAGATAGATAGATAGATAGATAGATAGATAGATAGATAGATAGATAGATAGATAGATAGATAGACAAATAGATACATACATGCATGCATACATAGGAATGGACTGAGATAGTTAATAACAGATTGAGTTAAATAGAAAATAATAGACTGAAGAATAGAAAGATAGACGAGACAAAATTTGATAGATAGATAGATAGATAGATAGATAGATAGATAGATAGATAGATGTGGGCATACCGCGATAGATAGACAGACATAGACAGATAGATACATACATACATAGGAACTGACTGAGATATATGATGACAGATTGAGATATAGATAAAAATAGATTGAGGTAGAATGATAGTTAAGAATAGACTGAGATAGATAGATAGATAGATAGATAGATAGATAGATAGATAGACAGATAGATAGATGTGGACATACATACATAGAAATTGACTGCGATAGATGATGATAGACTGAGATATAAATAAAAATAGATTGAAATAGATAGATAGATAGATAGATAGATAGATAGATAGATAGATAGATATGAACAGAATGAGGTAGATAAATAGATAGACAGATGTGAACAGAATGAGATAGATAGATAGATAGATAGATAGATAGATAGATAGATAGATAGATAGATAGATATGAACATAATGAGGTATATAAATAGATAGACAGATGTGAACAGAATGAGATAGATAGATAGATAGATAGATAGATAGATAGATAGATAGATAGATAGATAGATAGATATGAAACTTATGATTAAAAATTGATTGGTAAAAGTGCTAGTGAAACGTCAGTCGCATTAAATAGGTTATAGTGAATATTCTTTGTGGAATTGGAATGTTTTGTTTTGTTTGTTATTATTGTCACAGATATTTACAGGTAGGACGTAGATCTGCGCCAGTTGATGCAACAAGTGGGTAACCAAAAGACAAAAAAAAACAAACAAAAAAAACAGATGCATATCTCTATGTGGAAGCGTTGAATATGTTACAAGACATTTTCCATTGCCCATGTTCCCGCGCATTATGAGTTCAGAGTTCATACGTTCATGGTTAAAATATCCGTTACAAAAACGGACAATTCATCTTCTTCCCCGACATTTCACCCCCCACCCCTGTGATTATTTCCTAAAAATGAAAAATGCTCTGAATAGACAAAGATTTGCTGACATATCTGAAATCCAGGAACACACGAACAAGTCAGTCAGTTAAGTGTCATACCTGATACCCTCTTGGGCGATCATGTCTCTCCACAACTTCCTCATCTCAATCACTGTTGACTCTTACAATTAAGAGCCATACGGAACACACACTTGGGTGATCACATCTCTTTTGATTCATGACTGACTAGGCAGAGATTTTACCGCAGTATGTTTCCGTTTCTTTCTGCGGTAAACTGGTTGCCAACCAAGGTTATAAGATTCAATCTGCCCTGCTATTTAACCCATACATGAGAGGAGAAGAAACAGATTCATATCCTTCCCAAGGGCAATTGCACGAAAATTTACTGTAATGAACCCAACCGGAGTTCGACGTCATGACTAACTATAGCATAATCGTCTACACAAAGTGCATAGCTTAAGAAATGGACTATTTTGAATGTAACAGCTGCCGTTAATGAGCAAGTAAGCAAACTGTGTTTTCATAGATTGATTTGTTGTTTTTTACGGCTTACCAACCCTTTGCAGGATATTTATAGTCAAAACATGTTTTGTTTTGTATGAATAATTTATTTTTTTAAGAGTTAAAACTGCATTAAAATTTTCTTTTCAATAACAATGATTTTTTCCGGTACAAGTTTTACTATTTAACCCATAGCTAGGAGGAGATATAGATTTATACTTTTCTCAAGAGTATTAGCACGCAAGTGAATGTAACGAAGAATTCGACTGGAATTCGAACTCTGCTCTTCGTTTTCTTATTCCTAGCCATTATCTATTTAAACACCGTCACATTATTTTATAGACATTATTATTCAGTAACAAGATGTAAGGTAGAGGGTATATTTTATAATACTGTGATTTTCAACCTGAGTGGTAACTCTCTCTTTTGTTGGTGGCATGAATTTTTAAGAGACCAGTAAATTCTCAAATAAAGAGATTAAGGGTGGTGTCATAATGTTTAAAAGATTAACAGAGCATTAAGATAATTTAACCCCTTTGATACTGAAAATTCAGTGAACAGAGGAGTAAGCAAAAATGAAGTCTTAAAGAAAAAACACGTATACCAAGAATCAGGAAAAGACAGATGTAATTCCTTGGGAACATAATGAGGAAAGACGGCTTGGAAAATTTAATCCTCACAGGGCATACTGATGTCGAGAGAGATAGGAGATGGATCTTACTTTATGTGCTCGTGTGAATGGAATTCAGAACGGAGGTCGGGGGGTCTTAGCAAAAAGATAAAAACTATCAAAAGCAACACGAGTTTGGAAGTTGTGGAGAGCTATGATCGCCTATGCCCTGAAGGGATGCGGCATGTAGAAGAAGAAAAACTCCTTTGATCACTGATTAGGGCATGTCAAATTTTATATACGCATTTCTTTTTTTTTGTCTATATATTTATGTTTTTAGATGCATTTAGCTGCAATTGTAATATATGTTTAGAGGAGAAAAGCTAGACTCTGACAGCTACTATGATTTGAACCTGTGACCCCGACGTCCGGCTGTTCCGGCCTCAGCTTACTTTCTGTGGTTGGCGTTGCTATAATGCTACAAAACATGAACCCGTGACATTAACTCTATTGCATTAACTGTACGCCATTTCGCCGTGTGTTTATAAGAAAGGAGGCACCAACCCACGTAAATATCTTATTAATTTTAAATAAAAAAAAATTCCAACCTCCTACCTCATTTTACAACCACCAAACCCTGTCTATTTATTTTCAATGGAACGAATTTCGTGACCAATACTACCTTTCCCTTAGATTTTCCACTAGCAATTGTTCAAACGACCAGCTGATTAGATGTCGAAAATATCCCAAATCCTTCATTCTCGATTTTATTCACAACTGATTGGCTGATTTGTCTTTTATGACTTAGCAACCATTTTTAGGTTATTTAAAACCAGAAAATATATATTTTAGATTGATTTACTCATACAAATCCTACTAATTAACCCATAGCTGGAGGAAATGTTGTATTAATACCATTCTGAATTATATTTGCATGTCAGTAGTCTTGGGTATGATACTAAACTACACCCAGCAGCAAGGCCTCTGACAGGGAAATTTGAGAAGAGTGGAACCACTTCTGAATTACTGCTGTTCCAATGTCCACACTGACTCGGGGTGGTAGCATTAGTTAGGGTCCCAGCTATGGGCAAATAGTGAACTCCCAGAAAACAAAACACAATGAAAGTATAAAATAAATACATTTTTATAATAAAAAATACCAGCAATACCTAATTATAGTAAAATGACCAACAACACATTTTATCTGTGGTTGAAGATATACAACTGCGTTCAAAATACATTTAGTTGAAGCCATAAAATTTTTCAAAAGATTTAGATTTCGGTATAAAGTAACCCATAGAGGTGTTGATATAACGCGAAGCGAAATCTACCAAAAAACATGAAAGAAATCTTTCATGGCATTTATTTATTATATTAACTTCAACAAAACTACAACATGAAACATGTACATCACCGCCTCTAGTAATTATGTTCACAGAAACATGTATATGAACAAAAGCTGAGTATCATGTACCATGGATTCACTTGTGAAAGCAGAATAACATATATCATTTTTATTACTTTAAAGTTCCCAAGAAAATAACATTTCGACATTAAATGATATATAAGGGTTTTATATACTATTAATCAAAAATGTCAGTTAATCATTTGCGCGTAAGTGAATATAACAAACCCGAAGGAAATTGGAACTTATCATTCTGATTTCCAATTCCAAGCCGCTATCCATTACACCGCCCGCACATCCAAACTTAAAGCACTTGATATTTCCTAACGGTCAGCCCTCTAAATACTGAATAATATATATCCTTAATTTTTTTCAGACTTCCAGGTTTTATTAATTAAGCAACATGCAATGTAATTTATAATTTCTCTTTATATATATTGTCATGTATCTATGACTACAGAATGAACTCTTCCTAACACTATGTATACTACGCCTCTCAAGAGAGAGAGAGGAACAAATTAAGCCGAGAAGCTCGGTCGAACTGTCTGCCTCTGAGCAGAGAGGAACCCGGACGAGGCTCCGCCGAAGGGCAGAGTCTCGTTCGGGGAGGTTGACCAACCCGATCCCGTTTATATGGGTTCTACGGGCATTTTTTGGACGAGCCTAGGGGCTCGGGAAACACACGTTAAACTCGGCCTTGTGCCACATGCAACCCTCGGGGGCTAGATACCGAATCGAGTCGAGCTGATAGTAGTTTACTCTAAACCAGACTGACAGTCATACTAACACCTTCCACATCTTGTAATATTATTTCGTGTAATATACCTTCGTTAATTCTACTCTTGTGTTCGTGTTGTTCTTCCTTGGTTCTAACCTGGACCATAAAATATATATTTACATTTTATTTATTTATTGCTATTATTAAAATTTATGAAAATGCTATAGTTCTTGATTCTGTTTCTCTTGTTAGATGCCCTCTGCGTTACCATGGTAAGATCTTTTCGCTCGCGATGAATTCACTTTGTTTCTCAGGTTTACCATAAAACAAACAACAAAAAAAACAAAAAAAAAAAAACAAAAAAAAGTACAAAACATTGCCACCGTATGCAGCAGCGCAGTTAACGGCATAGGTAGTACTTGACATGAAACTTTAGTATTTTTACACCCCGGGACAACACCTGCATAGAGATATGCATATTCAATTGTGCATATCTCCGTGGAATTATATAATCACATATGTCTCTTTTAACCGTTGTGAGGTGCAGTATGAATTTCAAAAGTTTTTTTTTCGTTACTTATTTATGAGGTGTGGCTGACAAACTGTAAAATAAAAACCTATTTATGAGATCTGTATATCTCCTTGCTACGTTAATATATTTACAGAATTAATATTCTCATACTAAAAAGTTAATGATATATTAACAGATCGGGACATCTATCAGAGAGATGAAATTTAAATTTTTATTATTGCATTATTCAAAAATTTTAACACACTGAGTGCAAATAGTTATTAACTAAAAAAATTAGCAATTAATGTATAGTATTATCCATAACTACATATACTATAATGTCGTTTTTGATAAAAGTTAAAAATAACCATAAATACGTAAAAAATGCGTATATTGTCGAAAATTCTTTTTTCCACAATATAGCTATTTGTGTTATGTTATAATGTGTATTACGTAAACAACAATAATAATACTGAATATATATATTTTTAAACATTAAAGTATATTTAATCACATCTCTCTAATAGCGTTTGGGATGTGTTAGATATATATTACCCAAGTATTGAGTCGTTTAGGGTTTCGAAAGCCATGTTCAAAGGGTTTGTTTTTTTTGGTGCTCTGACGGTTTTATCATTTTCGAATATTGCTTGTGTACTGGGGGAAAAAAAGAAAGTAAAAGCTCGGAAACAGTTAAAAAGGAAAAAAAATGAAAAAAATCCTTATCTTCTTTTGGTCCTTAAAAAACACATTCTATAAACGAAAAGTTTATACGAAAATAGGGCCAATTCAAAGCAAACAGCTGTGAAAGAAATATACGGATATACACACACTTTCACTCTCTCTTTCTCTCTCTCACACACACACACACACACATATATATATATATATATATATATATATATATATATATATATATGTGTGTGTGTGTGTGTATGAATTAAAAATCAAATGCAGCTCAAATGCGTACAAGAATGTCGTATATTGTCGAAAATTTCTTTTTCCACAAGAAAGCTATTTGTTTTATTTTACAATTTTTTTAGTATTATTATTGTTTAGGTTATAATAACCTAAACAATAATAATGCTAAAATTTTTTTTAAAACATTAAATTATATTTAATCACATCTTCTTAATATATGTCGCAATCTGTAAAATATAATAAATTGTATGCGACGCATTTCTAGGGGAAAACCAGTCACTTTTTTGCTCAATTCTAGTGCATTTCAGTGAGAAAATCATCAACAATACATGATTCATATATATATATATATATATATATATATATATATATATATATATATATATATTGTCATCCACAGACAGACTGTTTCGCTGTATCACAGCTCATCAGTGTGGCTAGACGTCCAGTTGCCTTTAGCTATGATCGAAACCCGACTGAATTGGCGTCAGTCGGGATTCTAACGATAAGCCGTTGGTGCACGGCAGGGATGAAGGAGTATTTAAGCCTTTCTATTTTTAGATAAACACAGTGACAAACAATATATATATATATATATATATATATATATATATATATATATATATATAAAAACATATATATATATGTGTGTGTGTGTGTGTGTGTGTGTGTAAATTGCATGAATTTAAGCGCGCTACTAGGTTGGCATCTCGGTCCCACCCTTTCACTGTTGAAACGACTAAATATAGTCATCTCTTCTACTCCAACAGCTTCTTTATTTCGCACCCCACATCAGTGGAACTCCCTATCAATTGCTTCCCTGATAGCTATAATCTTCAAATATTGAAATGTAATGTCAATCGACATTTTCTAATGCTTTGACCTTGACTCCTCTCCTTCTCTTTGTCCTTTACCCAAACACTCCTCTTTACTCTTACTCTCACTCTCTGTAACCCCCTTGCTTTAGTTTATAAATAATGCTTGACATCCCTCTCTGCCTGATTTTCTATGCATTTCTATGAAACAATCATCAACATGTCATTATACTTTGAACAGCCCTTTTATTTTATTAGTAACGCTTGCAACACCATTCTTCTTTATTTACAATGCCTCTCGATGAAACAATTATTTTTTTAATCATTTCACCCCAAGTAAGGCAGTAAAGCCACTAAACGCAAGAGGTTAATGAGTGCTAGAGAATACGAGATAAACTGCAATTAAGGAGGGAAAGCAATAAAAGTATATGAATTAAGAAAATAACGATTGACATTGCATTTGAAGTTTTGAAGATCAAAGTTGACTGGGAAGCAAGAGGCTGGAAGAAAGTTCCATAAGTGAGAAATGTGGTAGAGAAAACTGTTAGCATAGAATTTACGGTTACAACTATCCATTTCAACTGTAAAATGATGAAACCTTTCAGTCAATCTAGTTGTTCTGCTCCAGAGAGTACTAGGGAAGTTCACTCACATCATAAAAGCAGAAATTAGCTTCGTATTCACGGAGATAAAAGCATACTTGATAGAAAGTAAAACATGTAGATAAATTGTATCTTAATTTCGTACAATTTATTTATATTTGTTTGTATTGGTGTGTGTATTTTATAGATTACAATTGTCTTATGAAACAAGTTATAAAAGAGAGAAGCTTACTGCGTAGTATTACAAACCTATCACAGACTGAAGTTGGACACGTGTTGCTCGTACCAAGGTTCGTAGTGAAGAGATTGAATTTAAAGTCTTTTGACGGGATGTCTGTATTTCCAGCAGGAACAATTTTTGTTGCATGCTGGGAGTATTTTCTAATTTTTATTTATTTTATTTTATACAACGATTTTATGTTATTGTTTTATTTTATTTTATTTACAATTTTCATTATTATGTTTATTTTATATTATATTTTTTTTATTTATAATAATAAAAATATCCCTACAATACACGTAAATAAGACTACCCTAATTACCCATTTATAATACGAATTCACTCATAATACGCACCCCTAAAATTGTACAGAAAGTGTGGGAAAATGCTTCTACTCACGTATAATACGCACCCCTTGTTTGGCAATCAAACCCTATAAATTGTACCTCTCCAATTTCATTACGGCCAGTGTTATTTACTCTTATTAAAAAAATTCTAATTTATTTTTATGATAATTCTTATTTTATTTTACATTTTCAAGTGTTGTTAGGTACATATGGTTGTATTTGACATCCTTATGGGGTCGCAATCGCCGAATGTTAGTGTCAAATTTTTGTATATTTGTGGTGAGTAGTCATTTCGCAACTGAAATCGACCTATGAAACGCAATTTGTTAAAGATTTTTGTAGCTGTGCATCATGCGCACCACTATTTTTTTTTTTTTAGAAAAAAGTGCGTATTATACATGGGGAATTACGGTAGTTAGTTTGAAAATACAAACAAGCAAGCGTAACAAGGAATATGAAAAAAGCAGCCGGAGGCTGAACTTATAAGTAAGACCATTGTATAAATGGGTAAAAGAAGGTAGCGAATACTTTGTTTACATGAATATATATATATAAAGTTTGCCACGGGAATACGTTCCAATGTTGACGTGAGTTCACGGAAAATGAATTGCAAGAAGCTTTCATTTGGCAACAGTGGACACGTTTTGAAAGGATTCTATACAGAGCAATAAAAACGTTAAATAAACATAAATATGGCTACATAAAACAGATGTTCAAACAGTAACATAATGATAAAGGAAACAAATGAAGAAAGGAAAGGTATTAAAAGTTACAAACCGGTGATGGTTGACATTGGGAATAAGATTAGGACGATGATAAAAATGCAAACCATGTGCTTGGCGTTATGATTTTACTGTGTGGAATCCGATGACAACTAACCGAAAGTGTTAAAAAAAATGGTGGTCAATCTAAAAGGTACCTAAACTAAAAAAAAATGACAAACAAAGGGAAGTAACACAATAAAGTTTCAGTAACAGAACTCTCGTACTTGAATTTATAAAGTCTAGGTACCTTAGAGGAAAGTGATATTTATTCTGTACAATACAGAAATGTGGCACAAGGCCGAAAAGGGGATTGGGGAAAGGACGGTCTTCTTCTGTCTTAACTATAACTTAGCTAGCCGCAAACACTGACCCAATCGTACGAACAATATTCCTTACACCAAAACAACACATTCATACGTACCTTTCTTACTACAACCACCATAATACCTCTTTGTACCTTAGAGGAAAGTTCATGAGAACAATTACTATGAAAGTATTTATAGAAAAGACAGAGAAACTACGTTACGGCGATGGAAAAGGGACTGTAGCCGAGATGCCAAGTCAGGACCAATAAGATTGCAGATTCTTCTTTGGATTTTATCAAGAATATTAACAAGATATCTATATATCAGCCCTATTATATCAACGCGGCTTTACTTCCTGATTTTCAATGCATTTCTATCAGAAAAATCATTAACAATGCTTTCATATAACATCTGTATTCTATCCACAAAATTTGAATCCTTTATTCCTGATTTTCAATGCTAAAAATGCATCATCATCATTAGAAATGTATTTCTATAATACAAAGAAGACCCTATTAAATTTGAAACACTTGCACTAATTCCTGAACACTGAATTTTAACTCCAACTTCAGTTGCTCGGTTGGAGTAAAATTTCTCGGGTTCAGCTACAGCACATCGGTTTATCTGTTTTATGAAAATTCAGAAGCAAGAAAAATGGTTTCCACATTAACTGACGGAAACAACGAATAACTCAGGATACGATTGTGTATTTTTGTCCCTGTTGATGTAATGGAATAGCCAGTCACCCCCATGAATGATTACACTATAGGTAGTAAGTACTTATAAAGTCAACCGTCTACGAGAGACGGGGGAGAGAGACGACCCAAGCACGTCCGACCTTCCAACTAGTGGCACTCACTACTAGATTGACCTGGGTGTATAACTGTACCGTATTTCATATTTTACTTGCTGTGTACAATAAACCTTTCTTCTTGTATCCACTTTGTGTTATGTGCTTGTTCCCTTAGCACGGAATATAATAGTGGCGGCGAGCATGTTTGAAACGAAATTACACGGTGGCAAGGTTGCAAATGAACGTAACACTCTTTTTATTGATATTATTTTTATTTAAATATTCAAAACTTTTTTATTCCTCTTTCGCTTTCTGATTTTCTGTATTTTCCTCTCTCTTTCTTCATATATATATATATATATATATATATATATATATATATATATATATATATATATATATATATAATAAAGGTACTGAATCCGTTGGTATATAATCTAAGTGGTTCCTTGTAATATAAAATATTAAAACTGATCCACAAAAAACGTTCAATATATTTATTATTACAGTGCAAATAATAAACAATAAAATACAAAATACTATGATTGGGCTGTTAGAATTATGCAGCTACAGGGAAATTGATGTTCTTGCCTTTGATAGTTGATAGTTTTTTATGCTTGTTAAACCTTAACCACAATTGCGAACCTGTTTCACCGATATAATTTCATGTTTTCCATTTATTGTGAGAAAGTAAATATATTACCTTTGAACTGTCAAAAGTCGAGGTCGGATTGCTGTGTGTACCAGGTGGCGTAAAATGCCATATATATATATATATATATATATATATATATATAAAGGTAATGAATCCGTTGGTATATAGACCAAGTGGATCCTTGTAATATAAAATATTAAATCTCATCCACAAAAAAGTTCAATGTATTTATTATTACAGAGCAAATAAATACTAGGACACAATAAAATTCAAAATTACCTCATACGGGGGTAGGGTGGGGAATAGACCTATTTCAATCTACGAAAACTTCATCAGTCTTATTCAACCTTGAGTTCATGTCAGTATTAGAAATTTAGCTGTGACAGCTGTCGAAAAATTAATGCAGAATTTATCCATTTCAATGTTTCAGTCAGACGAAAGAAACGAGTCAGTGGTCAGGGGAGAGTGGAGGGTATTAGACTTAAAGGGTAGAGGTATTATAAAATTAAACCCGGATATTAACCTTATGACATTAAATTAGGGTTATATGAAGAATGAAGTATTAATTTGAAACTAAAAGAGGAACGAAAAGTTTTTTTTTTAATTTATATAGATAAGGTTAAGTTTAAAAATAGATGTCCCTACATAAAAAATACTCTTCCAAAGATAAGTTATATTCAAAAATAAGATGTAATTAATAAATTAAAAATATATTATATTTAGATAATTTATATTAAAATTAAGTAAAATTATATTTTTTTTAAATTTGCAATTAATAAAAAATGGTTATATTAAAGAATATATATATTATGTTTATACATTCTTTTTATAGATACAAATATTTGAGTAAATGCTCTGTTTATAATAAACAGTATTAAACATTTACCGGCCTGAATGTCCAAGAAATTATCATAGAAAATATTCGTCCTCCGACAGAATTCGAACTTGTATCCTATACGGAACCGTCTTATAAACTGACGTGTCTTTTAACTGATTCGGCCATAGAGGATCGTTCGGCCGGCAAGGCCGAATTTACTGCTTTTAAACTTCAATCATCTATAAATCTCTCGCGAAAATTCATATCTGCCCATGACGTATAAAATGTAATCAAATGACGTCACAAACTCCGACAATTATTTTAAGAAGAAAACCTTAAATCATTTCGATTATAATTTATTTCGTGAATATCTATATATTCATCTCTTCAGACCGAAACCTCTTAGTACATGAAGACAATACCACGAACTGATGTGTTAGATTGACAGAGGGAAGGGAAAGCAAGAGAGAAGTGGGAAAGAGGAGAAGAAGAAAACTGACGAATGGTCAAGTTCTTTTAAAAAGTGAGATAGAGAGAGAGAGAGAGAGAGAGAGAGAAAGAGAGAAAGGAAATGGAATAAGGAAGTAATGAATGGGTAGTAGTAAGCCTAAAAAAACTAACCCAGCCAAGAATTTTTTTCTTAAATTGTGGAATTTTGTACATCGGGTTATACATCAAATTGACCGATATGGCCCATTATTTTAGGCAAGAGAACTCAATCCAATTCCAAATTAGTTATTCTAATAAAAGGGTCCTTAATACAAATAATGAATAAAAATTACAATAATGATAATAATATCAATCATAAATGAAGGGATTTTAAATACAGATAAATAATAAAAAGACATACCTTGGTTAGCCTGTGAACATTTTCCAGTCAACCTTATATATATATATATATATATATATATATATATATATATGAATGAATATAGAAAATTATGTAATCAGCCGATTCCGCTACCTTGGTTTCAACTTTTCCTTTATGTTCATTTGAAGTGGGATAAAAAGAACGTATCTATATTTCAGAGATCCACCAATACATTTCCAATACACTTGATTTTCCCCAACCTCCTCCGCATCGTCATTACCTTCTACCGCACCTCACGTCGTGCGCTTATTTATTTATTTATTTTTAAATATAGCTTTAATAATTTTTTTTTTATTATTAAAAAGTAAAGCATTAGCAAATCAATTGATTGAAATAGCCTGAATATACCGAAAGGTTGAAACCAAGATGGCGGTTTTCTTTTTCTGTTTGTGGTTTTACTCGTTTTATTATGCTTGTTTTGCTCGTTTTATTATTCTCCAAAGATTCTTGGTAAACTAATTTTTGAAGCAAGAGTAATTTCAAACAAAAAATAGTTTACCAGGAATCTTTGGAGAATAATGAAACAAGTAAAACCAAAAACAGAAAAAGAAAGATAACATGGTTACTTTTCTGTAAGCTATCCAATGCAAATATTGGCAGACACACTTCTTCAAGAACTTTAATCAAAATAACACCCTACAGAAAATTTTCAATAGAAAAAGCATGCAGAACATTATTAGCACACACAACAGACAAATACTAAAAGTATTCCATGACAGTAACACAGCAGAAAACAAATCTTCTTGTAACTGTAAAACTGGGACCAATTGCCCAGTCGGAGGTACCTGTAATTCGGAAAATGTGGTATACCAAGCTACCATTTTTCCGAAAGAAAACATCAACTACAAAAAAAAAAATACTTAGGGATATCCGCTATTAATTGTAAACAGAGACGATACAGTCACCAACATTCCTTCTCCAATGATTCCTTGAGACACTAGACTGCTCTATCCAAGTATTATTGAAAGATTAAAGATAGTGGTTTCACCCCACTAATCAAATGGGAAATCATCTGTCGGTCTCAAACCCCCAAAAACTCCGACACAGATGCGATCTGTGTATACAAGAAAAAAATTGCAAAACTTGTATATATATATATATATATATATATATAAAGCGCCGATTGCTTAGAGGTAAAACTCCCACTCATATATATATATATATATATATATATATATATATATATATATATATATATATATATATATAGGTGTGAGGAGGGAGAGGAATGGGAAAAGGAAGTGTATTGGAAATGTATCGGTGGAGGATTAAATGAAATATAGATACGATCATTATGTGCGCGTTTGTGTATGGGAGAGAGAGAGATAAAGGAGGAAGAAGAAGATAAAAAGAAATTTTTCAGTACGTATAAAATGGTAAAATGATATTTGATAACAGAAATTTAACACACGACATATCGCACCAGGTTTCTTTAAATCGAATTCTTAACGGGGAAAAAAAGTTATGATTTTACAATTATTCGGAAAAAATCGTGAGAAACAGATTTTTTGTTTGTTTGTTTGTTTGCTTTCTCCAAATTTTATTGTTATTCTCTCATTTATTGGCAATGGTAATTCAATAGAAATGTTTACGCAGCGTGAAGATATCATGGCTTGTTATAAACAAACGACAGTGGGTAGATCCAATCGGCAACTTCACGAAGTGCTATCTGCGTCAGTCAAGAACGACAATCACACGCTGAATATAACAGAATGTCTAATTTTATTATCTCCATATTGAAACCATCATGTAGCTTCACAATCGTATGCATGTATATATATATATATATATATATAATGTTCACGGACTAATTGGTTCACAGAAAATGTGCACATATAAAAATCTTCAGTAAGGATGCTGAACGTAACACCAATCAGATAAGGGACAAACTTTATATTTGTCTTAATTTTAAAAATTACACACACACACACACACACGCACACACACACACACACATATATATATATATATTCTATATTCCATAAGACAGATAAGACCGATATCTTCGTCTGCCGAAATAGACTATTCCTATATCAGGTGATTTTGTATTTTATTTTTATGCATACGATTGCGAAGGTACATGATGGTCTCAATATGTAGATTTTATTTCTTATTAATTATTTGCTCTGTAATAATAAATAGATTGAGCTCTTTTTGTGGATCAGTTTTAATATTTTATATTACTAGGATCCACTTGGATTATATACCAACAGATTTAATATATATTATATATATATATATATATATATATATATATATATACGTAGAAATCCGTTAGTATAATCCAGAGGAGTACTATTACACAACGTAGAATTTGAAATATGACTCACAAAAGACGGCTCAATGTTTATTTTCATTAAACAGAGCAAATTTTCTTCTAACTATAATTAAGATACCTTTAGTAAATAACCATTTCCACCTACGAATTTTAATTTTAAAATTCGTAGGTGATAATGATCATTTACTAAAAGGTATCTCTATTCAATGCATATATATATATATATATATATATATATATATATATATATATATATATATATACATGTTATAAGATCAATACAAAAGTTGCAATTTTGTTTTGACATTGTTGGTATCTTATCAAGGAACAGCTTCACTTGATATGATGCCAAATGTTGAAACAAAATTGCAACTTTTGTAGTGATCTTTATAACATCATATATTATAAATTTGAATGAATATTATTAACTCTACTAATGAGCAGTCTTTTACTAATAGTATTTTGGCTAATGAAATTTTATTCCATGTGTACCAAACCTGTATTTGATTATATATATATATATATATATATATATATATATATATATATATATATATATATTAATGCATATTGCGTAAATTTAGGCAGCAATGTTTCATTAATGCATGTTTCATCAAATAATATAGACAAGTTTTGTCTATTTATTTTAAGCAATTTCCTTTCATATTGTCTGATAAGTTTAATCACATTATCGTTGAAAGACGAAAGGAAAACACCATATTGATACATGCTTAAAACCAATCTAAGCTTTTGGATTACACAAGCCATTATCAAAGATGACAATTTCAAACAATACACGGACGAAACAACAATGATAGTCCGCCCTTGCTGCAGGAAAATTTCCAAGTAACGACAAACTCCTATATACAGGATGCGGAAGCGAAAGTCGCGTCACAGCTCGTGATGTCACACATAATCACACGAGAGGGAAAAACGAGAAGTATTATGTATGGGAAGCCGTTGATATGAACCAATGGCTTCTGTTATAAATTATAGGCATTTAAGGAGATTTGTGGAGATTTCGTAATGTGATTAAGGTTATCAGACAATATGAAAAGAACTTACTTAAAATAAATAGACTAAACTTGTCTATATTATTTAATGAAACATGCATTAATGAAAAATTGCTGCCTAAAAATATATATATATATATATATATATATATATATATATATATATATATATATTGCAAGACTCTCCTAGCGATTGAGTTCTCTGAGTGACTGGTGTGTTCATGAAAAATAAACACGCAAAAATTCGCCTTTTCTCTCTGCCGTCCGTCGAGAGCTTAGGGGTTAGAATCTTTGATTGATACCAAATCGGGTTTCGGTGCCGGCCTGAAGCGATCGGATGTCTACCCACACTGATGAACTGTGATACAGCGAAACAGCTTGTCTGTGGATGACTATATATATATATATATATATATATATATATATATATATATATATATATATATATATATATATATATTAGCTCCTTTTCAAATTTAAACCGGCAAGTTAAATATTGTTTTAAAAATGACGGAATGCATTCTTTGAAAAGAAATCTTCGTCCAACACTTCAGAAAGATTCGTTGGTACAACAATAATCACAACGGCGAAACTGATCAAAAAGAACACGAGGTGGAGGTAAATAAGGAGCCACGACTAAAGAAAATTATAAATAAAACAAACAAATCGGTGTGAATAAGCTCTTAGTGAGTTTACTTTTTAAATATTTTATAATCATATATATATATATATATATATATATATATATATATATATATTTTATTTATTTTAATGTTAAAAATTAAGCAGGATTTGAGATGATTCTAATGAAATAATTCATCTAGTCTAGAAGAAATCTCCGCAGAATAGAAAAAATACTGGACGGCCGTTTTGTCCTATATTTGAGACTCATCGAGAGTGCACATCCACTACCGGGGATTGAAACCCGGACAGTTACGATATGAGGATAACGTCATACCAACGGTTCTCAGTGCGGAAGCAATAACGAATTAGACTTGATATTGTGCCTCTCGTTCCCATATTCCGTGGTAGAACTCATCCGTGTTTCCCTTACCCATAGGACTGTGACCCCTAGAGCCGCAACTATCGACAAACCGCTCCACCCAGAGCATTAGAAGCCGGTTCAAGCAAAGATATACAAGTGATAGAAATTAAGGTGGATTTTAGAAAATTACAATTAAGAAATTCTTCGAGTCGTGTTCAATTCTCGGTCGTGGATGCGCACTGATGATGAGTCCCAAAGATAAGACGAAATGGCCATCCAGTGCTTTCTGCATTCTGTTGCGGTTTCTTCTAGACTCGATCTTTTATTGTCTTAAAACTATTTTGAAATATCTATCTATCTATCTATCTATCTATCTATCTATCTATCTATCTATCTATCTAAGGCTATTGAAAAGGTTGTCAGTTTTATGGAAAGAAAGCCAGCATTCTGCTATGACGATTACTATAATGCACGCAAAGTTAAAAAGTGTCTTTCGTTTAAAAAATTTCACGAAACGAAAATGCAAAATAAATTGAGAATGAAATTAGAAGAGAAAGAATCATCATGCAACAGCGATTAAAAATCCTCGTTACATTATTTGTTTTGCATACGTAACATACTTAATTTACTGAATTTTCATTAACATTACATAATTCATTTCTTTTTCCTTAAAATCAATTCCGTTATATTTCACTCACCATTAGCTTATTTGGTTTACTATAAAACACTGAAAATAAAAAGCTGATTTCAGTACTTTTATTTGAATCCAGATATAACTCTTCATATACGGACTTTGTAACCAATTTCTCATATCCGGAAGGCCTTCTTAGTCTGGTTGTCAGGGATTCTACTGTAAATTAATAATTTTCACCAAGAATTTTTCTTTGAAGAAAGGTTGGCCGAAATGTTCCTTAGAAGCTTCATCCCATTTTTTTTTGTGTGTTAAAATGGTGACATTTGTCCTGCTTAAGGCAATTATTTGATTTTGAAGCATCAGATCATTGTTTAAATATATAAATATATTTATCATAGTTTGAATTTTGGGTGACTTTTGTACAGGACTGTATCAGAGCGTATATTTTTACTCTCTATCTCGCTCACACACACACACACATATATATATATTTGTATAACGAGAGAGATTGTGGGAGGGGAGCTGGAATTCTATATTTCTCTATCTTCCTTCGTTTTTCGCACGTCAAAGCCTGTCAGAAAGTAATGTGTACGTGTTTCTACGCAACTGCAAACAATTGCTTACGCCAGAAATGTTCAACGAAAGAAACCATAATAAAATTAATTCGAAACGCTACTTTATGAAATGATTTCCTGCAACTAATATTTCTATGTCGTTTAAATAATAACAATTTACTGACAAAATGACACGTTTTTCCTCCGCCTTGTCAAAATACAAAATAAATGAAAAAGAAATATTACCAAATAATTTTTTTTTACTTTTCCATTTTTTAAAAATTTTTTTATATTCGTACAGATGAAGAATCTCTTCTGGAAAAACTCCTGGAACAGGTATTTTCGAAATTCACATACATTTTTTTTTTAAATGATGACAGTACAATCATGGCCTTCCACAGCATCCATTTTCTTTAATAACTGTGAATTTCCAAGATATCTTAGGCAACATAGTTGAGTGGTTTTATTCTGCAACTAAACTAAACGTCACTCAAAATTCGACAGCCCAATTTAGAAAATAACAGTTGCTGCAAAGTTTTGTCAATGTTACATACAAACTGCAAAAAACCTTTTTACAAACTCCTCATGAAGTTCCTGCAACGTTACCTTTGTAACGTTTAAAACACATTGTCCTGTAACGTTACATGAAGAGTAAATGGGGAATAAATTCCAGAAAGATATTAGAATTTTTTTTAATTATTTTACCCCAAGCAAGGCTATAAAGTCACTAAGACGCAAAGAGTTACTGAGTGTGAGATAATATGAGAAAAAGAAAAACATGATTAAGGATAGAGAACAATAAAAAAAATGGAATTAAGAATACAGAAAATAACGATTGACATTGCATTTAAAATACTGAAGATCAAAGTTGACATCAAAGCAAGAAGCTCGAGTTCCACAAGCGCGAAGAGCGAGGGAAGAAACTGTTAACATAGAACTTACGGTTACATCTCGTAATTTCAATTGTAAAATGATGTGACCTTGCTGCCAATCTAGTACTGCGTTTAAATTTGTAATGTCGATATATTAATGAGTAAAGCTCATCAAAACAATTACTATGGAAATATTTATATAGAAAAAGCACAGGGAAGTTAAGATACGGCGTTAGGAAAGTGAACGAAGTAAGACCAGATCGATAACACTGTAGATTCTTCTTTGGATTTTGTCAATAATCTCTAAATATATAGAAGAATTACATGACTACATGTGACAGCAATATTCAATGCATTGACGAATGGTATGGTAATAAATATGTCAAATAGATTATGACCAGAAAAGTTGTATAGCACGAGAACCAACTTGCCAAGAGACTGATTCAATATAATCTTTCCGGATTATCAGAGGAGAAACGTTATTCTTAGAAGGTGCAGTGAGTCACTCTGCTGGAGATTATCACCTGCCATATTACTAAAAGACAAGACTGTTCTCTAAAACGATTAAAAAATGGCACTTTTGTCTTGGAGTCGTTAAATTTGCAGAATAGGAATTTTCTGGTCAAATAACATCAGAATATTCTTCAGAGCGGAATTTTTCCGTAGAATATTCTTCAGAGCGGAAAAAATTCTTGAATATTCTTCAGGCGGAATTTTTCTGGTCAAAAATAACATGAGCGGAATTTTATTCTTCAGAATAGCGGAATTTTTTCATCAGAATATTCCGGAATCAGAATATGAATTTTTCTGGTCAAATAACATCAGAATATTCTTCAGAGCGGAATTTTTCTGGTCAAATAACATCAGAATATTCTTCAGAGCGGAATTTTTCTGGTCAAATAACATCAGAATATTTGCAAATAAAAGAATATTCTTGAGCGGATTTTTCTGGTCAAATAACATCAGAAATAATGAATATTCTTCAGAGCGGAATTCCTCAGAATATTCAGAACTTTTATACATTTTTATTCTAACATCAGAATATTTCGCAATTTTCTGGCGAATATTCTTTATCTGGTCAAATAACATCAGAATAAAGTTGTGACATTCTTCAGAGCGGAATTTTTTGGTCAAATAAAAATAGAGGACAGTTCTGGGGGTCAGGGTAAAATAACATCAGAATATTGCAACGTTACGGCGGAATTTGTCTGGTCCAAATAACAGCGAATATTCTCGAGCGGAATTTTTCTGGTCAAATCATTCCCGGAATTTTCTGGTCCAAAAACCCAAAATGCAATGCGTCTGAAAACGTTAACATCGAAATTTTCCGTATTCATCAGAATATTCGAATCTACTATGAAACTTAATGAATTTTTTTATCAGAATATTCTTCAGAGCGGAATTTTCCTAACATCAGAATAATCCCAGAGGGAATTTTTTCCTAATCTCAGAAAAGAGGGCTCCTCAGAAATCCCAGGCGGAATTTTTGGTCAAATAACATCAGGGCGGAATTTTCTAATCATCAGAGGGACTCCCTAATCATAGAGGGCCAAATCTCAGAATATTCCAGAGAGAGGCTCTAATCAGCGGAATTTTTCTGGTCAAATAACATCAGAATATTCCTCGGAGGGACCTGGTAATCTCAGAGGGCTGGTCCCAGAATATTCCTCAGAAGGGCCTCTAATTCCAGCGGAATTTTTCTGGTCAAATAACCTTAATCCCAGAGGAGATTTTTTCTGGTCCCTGAGAAATTCAGAGGAATTTTTCCTAATCTCACGCCTGCAAGAGCCGGGGAATTCTTCATCGCAGAACTAATCCCAGCGTTAGAGTTGTGACAACTTTACCTGGGGTCTAATCTTACGGGGGATCCAAAATCCCGAAAATTTAGAGAAACTAATGCCCTTATCCCAGAGGGGCTAATCACAACAGGGACCCTAATCTAATCATCCCAGAGGGGCTCCTAATCCCAGAGGGGCTCCTAATCCCAGAGAGGTCTCTAATCCCAGAGGAGCTCCTAATCCTAGAGGGGCATCTAATCCTGAAGGGGCCCCTAATCGCTGATTGGTCCCTAGAAGCAACGTTTTTCAATGAGCGTATTTTTCAACAAAATCGATGTTTTATTTTTCGGTGTTTTTTTTTTTTTTTTACAATCAGGCCATTTTAGTGGTAGAATCTTAAATCAATGGGTTGGGGTAGCTGATTTAGGCCATAGAATATGCTCTAATACCCATTTCATATGGCCTCAAAATTAAAATTGGTCAAATTCTAAAATGTGGTAGGGCTTACAGCGCCCAACCCCCAGGTGTACAGGCTCGTCTAGTTCGCCAGGATCTATTCATAGCTTATATTTTGCCAATTGGATCCTTGAATCTGCTGTTTCTGGTGGCAAAATGGGTGGGGTCATATATGTTCAAGCTTCGTGGCGTCAGAAATGTAGGTCCTCCACTGTCCGTGTTATTATTGATGATCCTAATAAATCGGGGGATCTAATAGCGAGGTGGGGCTTGATAAGTCATTTTTTGATAATTACTAGTATGTTTAAAATAATTTGTTGCCTACGGATGGCTTTTTTTTCTGTTTTCACACATAAATCGAACAAATCGGCATAAAATGCACAAATCTGTCAGAGATCGTAATTCTGTCTAAATTTGTGGGATGAGGAATTAACATTATTAGCACTATTAATATTCAGATTACTGTCCTCATCTTTGTTATCAAAACGTTTCGGCTGTTGTGCGCTCCGAACTTCCACAGATGTATGTCGGTTTGGGTAGCCTACAGGGAATTCTAAACTGAAACTTTGTTGGTGTAATCAAAACGTTCTGGTCTGGCTCTTGGGCCTTCCTCAGGTGTGTATTAATTTAGGTTCAGTTCAAAATTATCTGGAGGTTACCAAGATTAATGTACACCTGAGAAAGGCCAGGGGCACAAGTTTTCAGTTCATAATTCTCTGTAGGTTAGAAAAAATTTAATAAGACTCTTCGGTGAATCGAATCGAGTTTTCTCAGCCACTGTGTGTTTATCTAAAAATAAATACGCTTAAATTCACCTTCATCCTTGCCGTGCGTCAACAGCTTAGTGGTAGAATCCCTGACGCCAATTCAGTCGTGTTTCTATCCTAGCTAGAGGCAACCGGACGTCTAGCCACACTGATGAGCAGCGAAACTGTCTGTAGATGACAATATATATATATATATATATATATATATATATATATATATATATAAGCTGATACTGAGGTCATGACCAAACGACGATATTCTGTTGCATGCTTGAACGCAATCACACATCTGATATTGAGCACTTTATCCCATAAATATAGCACATCTTAAGACTATATTTCTTCATATATATATATATATATATATATATATATATATATATGTGTGTGTGTGTGTGTATGTATGTGCGTGTGTGTGCGTGTGTTTGTGTGTGTAGTTATCCACAGACAGACTTTTTTGCTGGATCACAGCTCTTCAGTTTGGCTAGACGTCCGATTGCTTCAAGCCGGATCGAAACCCGACTGATTTGATATTAGTCAAAGATCCTACCCTAGGCTAAGTTCGCAGGGCGGAGAGGAAGGGAAATTTAAACGTATTTCTATGCGAAATATGCCATTGGATCGGAGAACTCAATTCGTACTTAAAGAGTAATGCATTATATATACATACACACACACACACACACACATATATATATATATATATATATAATTTCCAGAAATAAATTCTTAAATGACGAATCAAAATGAGAAATATAGAATAGAAACCTAACAATGTCAGATTTCATCCCCACATTAAAATAATTGGAAATCTTTCCAATGACACGCTGTCTCTAAAAAGGACAATATAAATAAAAATCTATATGATTGATTGCTTTCTGGAATCTATCACTGGTTTTGGTATCTTGGACATTTGGTTAAAGGGAAGGATCGACATGTTTCTCCTCGTGGAGCGACCTTAGTAACTCTAGTCGGGTACACTAAATCTCATGCACCGCCATATATCAAATCTCTCGGGTGCACGTTAGGCGTTAGGACAACTTCAAACCCTCTCCCTTTGATCCTTATTCCATTTTTGTCACCGAATTGCGAATGTATGCAAGATTAGTGTTTGCATAGACACATCACACAGCATGCCCGCACGTATCGCTACTCGAATGTTTTCCTTTCTGTGATTATACGGATGGTTAGATGGCTTTGCATAAGTATCTATCTATCGCGTTATGTTCACATCTATCTATCTATCTATCTATCTATCTATCTATCTATCTATCTATCTATCTCAGTCCATTTCAATACTATCTATCTATCTATCGCGTCATGTTCACATCTATCTATCTATCTATCTATCTATCTATCTATCTATCTATCTATCTATCTCAGTCCATCTATATATCTATCTATCTATCTATCTATCTATCTGTTCACATCTATCTATCTATCTCCTATCTATCTATCTATCTATCTATCTATCTATCTATCTATCTATTTATCTATCTATCTATCTATCTATCTATCTATCTATCTATCTATCTATCTATCTATCGCGTTATGTTCACATCTATCTAGATATCTAACCTATTCATACACACACACACACACACACACACACACACACACACACACATATATATATATATATATATATATATATATATATATATATATATATATATACGTGTGAATGCATTATATTCGCCTCAAGAATACATGGCCCAGTGGATAAAAGCGTTAGCTGGATCCAGTGACTTGACCCAAAGGATTTGTGCTACTGCAGTGGTGAACAAAAGTTGAAGAGTTGAGTTAAAGGGAGATAACTGAAACATCCGGAAGAGGCATGGAATGTGGAACTAGAACAATCAGCCCCGATGCACGAAATAAAGGCTTCAGTTCGAAATTCTAATCACCTGAAGAAGGTTGGGTTGTACAATGGCCGAACTGCCGTGAATATGACAATAAAGATGCGGACGACAGTCATAACAATGTAAGTAATATATATATATATATATATATATATATATATATATATATATATATATAGAGAGAGAGAGAGAGAGAGAGAAATGGGGAGAGAGAGAAATTTGGGAAGGTTATGAATCTGTTTTGTTTTTCCTCCTTGCTGTGGATAAGTAGCAGGACAGACTGAGCCTTATATCCAAGGCTAACACTACTCCCAAGTAAATTTTGCTTAAACCAAACGCACATTTTAGCCAACCCTAGATAATATAGTGTGTGCGTGCACTAGTTATTTAAGTGCAAAATTTAAATGCAAAGCAAATGTATTCAATATAAAAGTACATTTCTCAGTCAATAAAACTTCTGTTAACTTCGAAGCTGGGTCAGGTGATTCATTTTAACCATCGCCTTCAAGACAGAAACCTTCTGTGATTACGTGAAATTGGGAGGGGGCGCTGGTTGGTTTCATTGTCAACGACACCACGGACTAGTGATACAATTCTGATAACCTCGGAGGCCACATTTTACGCGATGACATCATCGTCAAATTCTAGACGAACAACATTTTGGTTTTTTGTCTAGTTTGTGCTAACACGAACTCATCAATAATCGTGACCAATTTTTGAGTTTGGTCCGGTTCAAACTGTAGATCATGCCAGATGATGCGCATTCAAAGACACTATGGCCCGCATAGTGGGGGCTCTTTGGGCATTGAACAAGACAGATATACCTGATTCGACGTGTGCATCAGAGATAAGTTGTCTGTCGTAGCATGGGGGGTGTGCTCTGATAACGTAGCTGGTCTTATTATATATATATATATATATATATATATATATATATATATATAATAAATATAGAAATATAGTCTTAAGGTGTGCTATATTTATGGGATAAATTGCTCAGCATCAGAGATAGAGCGTGTGTAAATATAAAAGTGAACATTGAAGTCAACACTTAGAGGCGACAGGCTGTTTCATGCTAGATGCAATATATATATATATATATATATATATATATATATATATATATACAAAAGTAAAAAGACAATAGGGGAACTGTAATATTAACCGAGTCGTTTCGTCCAATGTAGACTTTTTCAAGGCAAAAACGAAATTAATTTATTAAAACAAAGTAACTACTAACAAAAAAATGTCCTTAGCAACTAGAAGAATTTAGAAAACACTATCATATTCATATTGTCAACTGAAAATTACGTCAAGTACTATCACATGTGGAAATATTGTTTTTATTGTGTTGACGGATTCAACAATTTTCTTTTGATTTCTTGATACAGTTGTGTACGTTGGAATGGAAGAATAGTAATTCTGTTAGGAAAGGTGATATAGGGAAAAAGCCTGGGCAATATAAGCATCTGCAGTTATTTTCGTACCGTAAGGCACTCTCCACGGACCAAGCATGATACCTCCAATAGTACCAGCTCAAATCATAATACCTCCACATACTTGTTGGTGTATCAAGCGTTGATGGCGATCTCTTCTATTTACGACCCACCTTTGTTCCAACCATCAAGGCCATCAAGTGTTGCATCGCTTTCATCTGTGAACAGAACTTTCGAGAAATCGAGCTACACGTTCTCCTTTGTCCATTTCAATGCGTACTTTGTCAATTGAGGCTTTGTCATTGGTCTTACTTATGTCTCGACCTTTTTCAGAAGATGATAGCAAGTACTTCAGGACACTTTTTCTTCTCCAATGCCCTTTAAAATTGCACAACTGGTCAGGTCTGGATTATTTAGAGCTACACGTTTTATTCGTGACAAAGAACGTCAGGAAACAACACACGAGTGACACTTATCAGAGTTGCAACAAATCTTTTCAGGGTATGGTAGAAAGTTCAGATGTTATAGTATCTTTCTCAGAAGCGGTCAAGTCACATTTGTATTGGAAGAATAGTAATTCTGTTAGGAATTCTGTTTTCTCAGGGAAATTGATATGTCGATTATAATAAGACTATTTTATAGTGTGGAACACTTCAATATCATGTTAATATTGCAAATGTCTACCGTTTGTTTCCTGTTGCGCAGAACAATACAGTTTTTATATAGTCTGCTCATATATCTATTCCCATTATACTTTGAAACTTTCGTTAAATTCCAACTGGTACTTTTTGGCCAAAATGAAAAAATACCTCGTTAATAATTCGAAACGCAGTATATATATATATATATATATATATATATATATATATATATATATATATATATATATATATATATATATATATAAAATATGGATATTCCTTTTTCTTACGTATATGAATGATTGCACTATATTTTAAATACTTTAAAGGTGCTTTTTAATAAACTTTTAAATGTTAATGCTTTAATGAAAAATGTTGCATATATTATAATGTCATCTCATTTTAACAGAAATATTTACCAAAATTACACAAAAATAACTTGAAATACTAAAACGTAAATTTATTCAACAGAATCGCCATTGGCCTCAACCTCAGCTTCCAGAGGACTTCGGAATCTCCTGAAACTCTCCTGAACAGTCTCCGTGCTTAAGATAGTGAACGCTGCCATAATTCTTGCCTTCAGTTCATCTTTGGTGTTTTGTTGGTCTTTCATTTAACTGCGTCCCTTACATAATGATCACGCGCGTTGCAGTCTGGGGAGTTAGGTGGCCAGATGTAAGGGGCGATGAGGTCGCAGAAATTCCTTGACAGCCATGACTTGGTTCTCCTGTTTGTCTGTTATGGTGCAGAGTCCTGTTGCCAGACATAGGGACTTCCAGCAGCCACCCTTTTGAACCGAGGCAACACGACTTTCTCAAGGAAATTGATGTAAGCCTCCGTGTTGAGTCTGAAACCTTGTGTGAAGATGAATAGAGGCATAACATCGCCAATACTAGTGCTCACTCCAAACTCCATATATAGTCCAACTCTTATCGGTTCCTTTTTACTGTCCTCACATTGACACCAAAACACTCAGAAATGTTCGTATTGGAGATTCTGGGAGTACGGCACGTCGTTTCCAAATTTAAGACAGAGTAAATTGCCTTATAGTATTGATTTTCTCACAGACGGTGCCCAACTGGCCCTACAAAAAGTTGCAGTCCACAAAATCAGAAACAAACAACGCGCATGCGCGGAATTAAAAATATAAAGTGACGACAATTTACACATCGCTGCCTATATATATATATATATATATATATATATATATATATATATATATAATTAAAATTATAAATTAACTGATTTAAAATATATTTTTTTTCGCTACACAGTATTAACCATGTTTTTAAAAATGGGAGCTGAAAGCTTCAAATTTAATTTTGCAATTAAATTATTTTGTAAAAATAAAAATACCAATAAGAACACCGGATTATATATCTTACTGTTCTTTTTTTCTATTTTATCTATATATACATATATATATAATTATATATTTATTATAAAAGATTATAATAAAAACATATTTAAATTACAGAAGTTTTCATGTTTCAATACTATGATTGTACTTCTTCAGGCGATGGTAGGTAACTCGTTATAAAATGATTTTTTAGGGAAATTTAAAAACAAATCATTACCTCTTTTTCTAAAGTTAAAGTTGTGTACAAGTTCAGAAATTAAAAATATACTTGTGGGTAAGTTTTGATTAACCAGTTAAATGTCAGATCTATTGCTAAATAGAAAAATAAGGTCAGAGGTCGGAGGTGGGTGAGTTATTTTTTCATGTCACAATAAACCGGCATATAGATATAGCTTCATTGACGATGTTAATATTTCGGCCTCTCGCGTGGTATGACGTCATAGAACCGCATCTTGAACTTACGAACTGCGTCTGTTATTCCGCGACCGTTATCAAAAGCTTAGATCAAGAACCAACTTAATACAAAAAATATCCAAATGTTGAACAATTCTTGTCTTTATTTTCACCCGAAATTAAAGCAAACATACGAACATTAGGACTGCTCATGATCAAACGTAATAGATATTCATTGTCTGTTATGTTTAACAGTATATGCTTAAATAATGATTTGCTGCTGCAATACACTAAAGACAAATTGTAAACAATAATACAAAAGACTTTAAATTTTATTGTGAACAATAATACAAAAGCCCTTAAATTTCATTGTGAACAATAATACAAAAGCCCTTAATTTTCATTGGGAACAATAATACAAAAGCCCTTAAATTTTATCAACGCAGGTGCTCAAACTGTTTCCCATCACAATTTACACAGCTTTGAAGTCTACCTCTAACGCAAACTTTTTTGCACAAGTCTTTTTGGGTATTAATTTCTTGAAATGCATCTCTTACGTAATTTTTCAAATCACCGACACTTCTTGGTTTTCGATTATAAACTTTGTCTTTGAGTACTCCCCCCACAAAAAAAGAAATCCAATGGGATCAAGTCTGGTGATCGTGTCGGCCAATCAATTGGACCTCTTCGGCCAATCCCCTTTCTCAGGAAAGGTTTCATCAACAAGAACTGCTCTTGAATAATGTGGAGGGGCCCCATCTTGTTGGAAATAAAAATCATGTGAATTAGGCTGCTGCTGTAACTGGGGAACAAGTTGATTCATTAGAATTTCGAGATAATTATCTCTTGTGACTGTTCCATCAAAGAATATTGGTTCTAAAACACCAGAACTTGAAATACCACCCCAAACATTGACGCCACGCTGATTTAGTTGTTGCTCTAATGTTAAATGCATGCTCTCACCATACCAGTAAACACAATTATGTTTGTTAATATCACCAGATAATTTGAAAGAAGCTTCATCACTCCACATAATGTTATCTAAAATTACTGGATTTTCTTCAATTTCGTTCAGCATCTTCTCACTAAATTGCAACCGCCTGTCTGGATCATCCTCCAGTAAGCCACGAATTAGCCGTGGACGATAAGGTTTCAACCCAATAGATTTAAAGATTCGAATGATAGAGGCCCGTGAAATCCTCAATTCCAAAAAGTCTCTCCTGGTGGACTTTTTTGGACTCTGAATAAATGTTTCAGCAACAAGTTGCTTATTATTCTCTGTACAAACTGTTTTTGGTTGACCAGTTTTTTGAGCATTAAGGATTCAATCAGTGGCATCGAATTTGTCACGAATGCGGTAAATGGTTTGTCTGTTTGAGTCTTGATTACCAAATGTTTCAACCCATTTAGTTTCTTCTAACATTTTCAGCATTTTGAGATTTCCAGTACACTTTTAACTCCCATTTTCTTTCATCTGTATTTAAATTATTTGCCATTATGGGTTCTCTGAATTATCTGAAAAGAAAACAGATTAAATTTAAATAATTGTAGTTATAAAATTATCAATAACACAAATAGCATAGCTATAATGAACACAGTTCTAATAATATAACCGATACATAAACCTATTCCACATACAGTCCACGTACTTTTGGACTACCTATATATATATATATATATATATATATATATATATATATATATATATATATATATATATATATATATATATATATATATATATATATATATATATATATATATATATATATATATATATATATATATATATATATATATATATATATATATATATATATATATATATATATATATATATATATATATATATATATATATATATAAAACTCTTTGCGTACGTGACTGTCCGTATTTTTCCAGATAGCTGCTCCGTAATTCTGACGTCATCCGAATATTTCCGATATCAATCGCCTCCCAACCAGTTCCGATTTCTCTTCTTCATTCGTCTCAGGAAAGAGAGCAGCGAACAGTTCATGACCTCGTCATGAGATGGGACTTGGAAGTATCGGATTCGGTGCAGTCACGGACGTGTTCAGCTCCCACAAGAAACATCGTGGGTTCGCGCCCTAACAAAGTCCGCCTGAAAGGTCATGGACGGTAAAACACGAACGCTTTTCGTCCGTAATAGATACGCGTCGAAATAAACTCCTACACACACACAAATATATATATATATATATATATATATATGAAAAGAGGGAGAGATGATATTGGACAGTGCAGTAATACTTATCTGGACTATGTTATGAAAACATATCACTTACCATTTGAGAATTTATATATATTGAAATTTATTAACTTAATAGACAGACAGATAGACAAACATAAATTAAGTGAACACACACATATATATATATATATCTTAATTTCCAACGAACTCAACATAAAGTATTATTTTTTTCAGTAGAAGGAAAAAATCAGTTATTAGAAGTAGGCTTTTTACACACACACACAGACACACACACATACATAAATATATATAAAATGAACACTGAAGTCAACACTCAGCGGCAACAAGCTATTTCATGCTAGACTCAATCGTTCACTTTTATATTTACACACGCTTTATCTCTGATATTGGGCACTTTATTACATAAATATAGCACATCTTAAAACTATATATATATATATATATATATATATATATATATATATATATATATATATATATTAAAAAATATATGTCAATTTCTACATATATATGAATATACTAATATTTAAGATATTGTAAACAAATATATATATATATATATATATATATATATATATATATATATATATATATATATAGCCAAATCATTTTGCCAATTAATTTATTGTATTTATTTTTCCACATATGTAAATGAATCTAACCATTGTGTTATAAGTATTGATATATTACAACTGTCAATTATAAGCTTGTGTCACGAAAACATCTACGACTGATCAAAAAGATCAAATCGTCACTGTATGCCCCATACTTTCGGCTTTGTACAATATCTCAGCTACACTTAGAAAATCACTATATGCACTGTAGATATATGAGGGCCGTATGCAATTATACTAGAATACATTGGCTAACCGACCAGCTGTTGTATTCTGCTACACTTGTATGTCTTCTGGTGTGTCAATGTATATATATATATGTTTATTCAAACGAGTTTCATTGAATAATATTTATTTTTAAAAGTTCACCGTTCCAAGAGCAGGGAAAAAAGGCATGAAAATGAAATCTTACGTGAAACCTGCGAACAACTTGTTACTCAAGGACAGAAAGATTTTAGTAAGGGCGAAGATCATCTTGAATAAGGTGGAAAATGATCCTGATAAATATATATATATATATATATATATATATATATATTTGAACAATATTTCAATGCTTCATGGGCTTCCGATACTTATCTATGATTAATTAATATTGAACATTTCTTTTTCGTTTATGATCGACTTTAGCATAATACTTCTGTTAAGTTTAGAGAGTAATTATACATTCCTATTGGCTCAAAGTAGAGTCCAATAGTTTTATAAAACCCTCGGAGAATTCCAGTAAGATATCTTTAATCATTTCTAAGATACAACAGTTCAAAGATTAATCTAACAAATTGAGAATTTTGCTTTTTACACCCGGTATATATATATATATATATATATATATATATATATATATATATATATACGTTTAAGATCAAATGCAATATGAATCGGAATCCAACAGGATGATAAAATAAAGAACAACTAGGAAACGTATATCAATCTGAAAGTATTTCACTGTAACACCTTTTCTATTTGTTCTTTATTTTATCATATATATATATATATATATATATATATATATATATATATATATATATATGAAATCTGGGTTGGGTAGTAGAAGAAACTGTTAACATAGAACATACGGTTATCTCTAGGCATTTCAAACGTAAAAGACCAAGTCACCAATCTAGTACTTTGGTTTGGTTCATAATGTTTAAATAGCATAAAGCAAACCTCATCAGAACAATTAGCATGCATATATTTATAGAAAATACACAAGGACCTACATTAGAGCGTTGGTAAAGCAACTGAAGCCGAGATACCAGATCAAGACTAATAACGTTGCAGATTCTTCTTTGGTTTTTATCAATAATCTCTAAATATATAGCAGAAGCGCTGAACCATATGTAGCATCAATATTCGATGTATGGACGAATGGTAGCCTTATTAATTTCTAAGATAAATTCTCGTGAGAGTAAGTGTCTAGTGCGACACAGTGAACCAACGTTCCTAGTAGCAGACCGAGCAATTGATTCAATATAATCTTTCCACTTCATATCAGATGAGTCCGTTTGTCTGATTAGGCACAACGAGTCACTGTCCTGGAGGTTAGCATCAGTCATGCTGGTGTAAGGCAGAAAGAGGCCTCTCAAATGATTAATAAAAAGCAGTTTTGTCTTGGAGGCTTTAAAATTACCAAGTCATTCCTTGCTTCAGTTAACAGCAGATTTTATATTTCATTTTTTAGATCAGCTGTAGTAATATAAAATAATGATTGCTTAACTAGAGTAATATGGAAAACACAATTACTTACTCTATAGTAAATTGAGAAAATGATTGCTTCATCAATAGTAATATGGAAAAATGATTGTTTATCTATAGTAATATGGACAAAAATGATTGTTTATTCTATAGTAATATGGACAAAAATGATTGTTTATTCTATAGTAATATGCAAAACGATTGCTTAGAATAATATGGAAAACACCATTGCTTAATCTATAGTAATATGGAAAAATGATTGCATAATCTATAGTAATATGGACATAAATGACTGCTTAATCTATAGTAATATGGATAAAAATGATTGCTTAATCTATAGTGTTATGGTCCGGGTCCTTGTACCACTGTGATGGTCCAAGGTAGAACCAATAAAGAAGAACTCGAACACGTATATGGAATAACACATATATTACAAACAGGAATATATACAGAGAAGTAGAAAGTGTTAGTACGAACAATCAGGTTTAATAGTAATTGTCTGAACGCGACTCTGTTTCGGACTGCCTCTGACTCGACTGACTGACTCGCTCTGACTGACTGACTGAGTGACAGACAGACTCCTGACGGATTCACCCCAGACTTCAGACTGAACAGTATTTAGTCACCCCCCCACGAGGGCATCATGTGGCACAAGGCCGGTTTAACGTGGGATCTCCGAGCCCATGGGCTCGGCCAAAAATATGCCCTTTGAACCCGTATAAAGGGGTTCAGTGTCGGTTTACCTCCCCGAAAGAGACTCCGCCCTTCGGCGTAGCCTCGTTCAGGTTCCTCACCGACCGAAGGCAGAGAGTTCAACCGATCAGCCGATCAGCCGGTCGTCCGACTTCAGGCTGAAGTCTCTGCTTCCTCTAGAGGCGCAGTATTTATTACGTATGGAATAGTTCATTATGTTATTATGGGTAAGGTCCCATAACATATAGTAATATGGACAAAAATGAAAAAAAAAATGATTATTTTTGGTTTCAGCACCGATTCCGCACTACACAAAAAGAAAGAAAAACAATTTTTTTACAAGGTACAAAAGATCAACAGTTATTTCTTTTGATGACGGGAAAGAGGTTTTATTCAAGGGACATAACCAACACGAAAACTGATGTGCAAATAATGATTTACTAAGCGTAGTTTCGATGTGGCACAAGGTCACAAGTGTGGAGTTCTCCGTGAGTATCGAAATCTAATTGATCTAGCGAGACAATCTTGCTAACCATTACGTCACATCAAAATACAGTTGGCGAGTAAAGAACATACATACAAATCTCTATCTATAAAAGGCAGGATGTGTGTGTGTGTGTGTGTGTGTTGAGATGTTGAGTGTTTCCGCGTGCGTGTATTGAAATAAGGACAAACACATACCTAGGGAAAAATACTGGTATATCTGAAGAGGTATTTACAACAGAGAGATTAGTAGTCAAACGAACGCAGGTTAGTCAGTAACAATCAGAAAGACTATAAAGTCCAACTGTATCTTCCGGTAGAGAGACGGAAGTGTGATGGTCACCTGACCTTCCCAGAACTCTATAGAACTGTCCTATTAGTAGTAGAGAGATCAGTCCATTCGGATGAGAAGGTGGGTACGCCCCAACAGTGTGTGTGTGTGTGTGTGTGTGTGCGTGCGTGCGTGTGTGTGTGTGTGTGTGTGTGTGTAACGAATGCACGGCCACAATTTTCGATGGATTTGCACCAAAATTTACATGCTCATGCTCCAAGTTAGCCAAAAGGCCAAGACCGACATTGCATTTCCCAACTCCCATCGATAGTGGAAATAATCGATTTTTTCATGCTTCTACGGCAGTTTTCATGTAGTTGGTGGCCATTTTCTACTGGCCAGAGTGAGAGCCAATAGCTGGCTGCCACGAATAGGCAGGAAGATTCTATTGGCCAGCGTGAGAGCAAACAGCTGACTGACACGAATGTTAACTAGCATGTTAGCATGCAAAAAATCGATAGCTGCATTCGTCACAAGTGGGAAAAATTTAAATCCGCATGGCACTTTACTCCAATTGGCTCATTCGCTTGCTTAAACTCAACGTTGATTCTGATTCCGCAGAAATGGGTTGGGTGTGAAAAAGTATTTGTTGTTAACATTCTTTTTTCATTCGGTTTTTCCAGTTACGAGTCCTTTTTTAAAGCTGATCGTTTTGTGTTCATTTTGTTTACTTGTTTTTTCGTAACAGATTTAATATTTAGAATAGAGTTTCGAAAAAATTCGCAGTGTGAGATAGGCAAGAAGTAAGGCATGTAGCAACATTAGCACGGCAAACGGCACTCCTTTAAAGGCAAGGAAGGGCAAAAATATTTTAAGTCAAGTGATAGCGATTGTTGTATGAGTCGTACGATTTTTGAATCAAGCACGGGAAACGCCGGGCCATGCTGCAAGTGTGTGTGTTACTCAGTAAGAGTAGCTTACATGTAGCACAAGGCCAAAGTATGGAACAACTATTGAGGATCGAACTCACCTCTCGGTCGTAATTGATCTAGCAAGACAATCTTGCTAACCATTACGCCACGTCGAAGTGCTGTTTACGTGCAAATAAGTACTGAAACCTCTTGTTTAGTTCTTTTTGCCCAGTAAAAAATTCAAATTGAAAACTTCAGCAATAGAAAAAAAAAAGGACGAATAAAGAAAAATTTAAATTACGTACACGAATTGACCATTTGATATTTAATAGTAATATGTCTTCCCATTCGAGATCACTGGTGTGTGAATTTCAAAGTTTATAGTTAAAATTGATTTGAGCACGGGACACACACACACAACAAAACAAACATTTAATCAATATAACAGAAAGAATGTATTCTGCCAGTGCATCTGTATTTGGGGATTTCTTTTACTTCTGCTTTTTTTTAAATTTTAAATCAAGATGGTAGCGCATCGTCTGTTTTTACAATTCGAGAGCAGGAAAATGTTCTAACGAGCTACATTCCCTATTACCACCAGTTCTGACTTTACAGGTCAGAACTGGTGGTAATACCCGCTATGGTGGTAATACCCGCTATGACATGTCCACATATACATTCCCTTCGTATTCCATTTGTAAGAAGCGGGTTACAGCTTCTTCCCCAAAATGGGTACGTGGAATCGGCCCTAGTGAGGAATCTTCCCGGACCACTACAATCTTAACTTCTTCATCTCTAGGAGCAACGATTATACATCTACTGATAATCTACAATTCTTACAATCTGCCTGCTTTTCTTTTTTTCTTTATTTATTTCATCATACCTCGCCTGTCTTTCTTTCTTTCTTTCTTTTTGCTTTAGTCATTTTCTTGTATATTTTCTTTACTTCTTTTTCTTCGTTTTCTTCCTCTTCTCTTCTTTTTCCCGCCATTTTCCACTGTTCTTTTCATTCATATTTTTCTCTCCTTTTTACTCCTTTTTGGTATTTTTCTGTTTTTCTATTTCATTTCATTTCTTTTTTTCTAACTCACTCTCATTTATCAGGGTTTTTTTTTTTTAAATTATTGGCCTGAAACCCCATTCAATAACCTTCTACAATGAGTGGCTCTTGTGTCTTCTGTTGAATAAATCATTAATCTGAGATTAATTCTTTTTCTTCCTCAAAGTAAACACCAATTGAGTAGCTCCTAAGCCTTGGAATAGGCAAGCATGTCGTGTGCTTTCCAGAGTGTAAGGCAGAGCTGTTTTTTTTTATGAGAGATCGACACGACCTTCCTATCTACGCTTCGGACAGAGCGTAACTAAAACTATCATTGAGAGGCACTCAATACCTTACTCAGTGCACCAAAAGATCGGGAGTAATAACGATGTTAGCACAACCGACGTTTGCGGGAGCTGGTCAATTTTGGGCCTCCCTCCATTAAACTGGCCTTGTGTCACGTCCTGCCAGCGTAAAGCGGCCAGAAAATAAAATCATTTTGTTGGGACCTGAACCCACTAATTCCTTATTTCCTTTAAAAAAAAAAAAAAAAAAAAAAAAACGTTAAAATTCTTAGTGGCTTTTCCTTTTAAATCCCATTTTGGGTTTATCCGTCAAAAAGGAAACTTTTTTTTTTTTTTTTGCGTTTTTTATCACTTAAAAACGTCCAAATAATTTGTCTTGGCTTCCAAAATACTTTTTGAGTTTATCCGTCAAAAAGTGATGGATATTTTATCACCTAAAAAAAAAACAAACAAACGTTCAAATGATTTCTCTTAGATTCTAAAATACTTTTTGATTTTATCTTTCAAAAAGCGATTGTTTTTTTTTTTATCACCTGAAAAACATCCAAATAATTTGTCTTAGCTTCCAAAATGCTTTTTCAGATCATCCGCTAAAAAGTGAGGGTTATTTATCGATTAAAACCATCCGCTAAAAAGTGAGGGTTATTTATCAATTAAAACCATCCGCTAAAAAGTGAGGGTTATTTATCGATTAAAACCATCCGCTAAAAAGTAAGGGTTATTTATCGATTAAAACCATCCGCTAAAAAGTGAGGGTTATTTATCGATTAAAACCATATAAAGTTTCCGGTTTTCTATCGTTTAACAATGTACAAATATTTTATCTTAGCTTCCAAAATGTATTTTGGTTTCATCCATTAAAAATGTGGTCTATTCTATCAATAATGCTTATATTTATTCGTGGAGCAGTCAAATGCACAATATACATTCTGCATTCTAATATTTGCTAAATAAGTAAAAATCAAATGAAAATAATAAAAAAAGAGAAATATAGTATTTAATTATCGTATTTTTCTTGTGCTATTCACCAAAATGTTTAGTGCTAAAAATGACTATGGCTGAACGGAGTTTCTGGGATTTGTTGAGAAGATTTAATGTCGATGGCTAACGATAAACGGAATCGAAAATCGAATTCAAATGCTGATTCGTGCAATGGAGTGATGATATAAAATAGAATACATACATGGAATGTAAAGATGTTATAGAACAGAATAGATTCATGGTGTATAGACATGTTATAGAATAAAATAGATTCATGGAGTGTAGACATGTTAAACAATCGAATAGATTTATTGAATGTATACATGTTACAGAATAGAAAAGTGATTTTCAATTTCCGTGCCGCGGCACGCCAGTGTGCCGCGCAATCCTCTCAAGTGCGCCGCTAAATATTGTCACGATGTGTGTGTGGAAGTAGTAATGGTTTTAAATAACGTCAAAAATAAGAAGCAAGAAAAACTACGTTCAAGTGAAGAAAAAATAAGTGTCTGATTATCGTACATTGACGACATCGTGGAAAAACACCAAGTACAGGTTTCACACTAAATAATCTACACAAATAGTTGAATAGAAATAAAGTAAATTCATATTTGTGTGTGAATTTCTTTTAATTTATGGTTTTACTTTATAACATTTAAAACTTTGCTTAGTGTGGCGTGATATTTTCATTTCCTATGTGTGCTTTTGCTTGTATGGAATAGAATATATTTATGGAATGTGGAAATGTTTATAGAATGCAGATATAGAAAGATAGAATAAAAATGATATAGAGAGTATTTAGATATTATATAGAATATTAGAGAATCGTGAAATGTAGGAATATTATATCGATAGAATAGAATGGGTAACTGCAATATACGGAGACCTGTAAAATATTTCTTGCCTTTTTGAAAGAAAGAAAGAAAGAAAGAAAGAAAGAAATTATAACAAAGGAAAACTAGGAAAGAAAAATTGATTAAGAAGAAAGTGGGGGAAAAAGAAGTGGTTGTGAAAGAAAGAAAGAAAGAAAGAAAGAAATTATTACAAAGGAAAACGAGGAAAGAAAAATTGATTAAGAAGAAAGTTGGGGAAAAAGAAGTGGTTGTGAAAGAAAGAAAGAAAGAAAGAAAGAAAGAAAGAAAGAAAGAAAGAAAGAAAGACAGAAAGAAATTATTACAAAGGAAAAAAGGAAAGAAAAAGTGATTAAGAAGAAAGTGAGGGAAAAAGAAAAATGGTGGTGAAAGAAAGAAAGAATAAAAGAAAGAAAGAAATTATTACAAAGGAAAAAAGGAAAGAAAAAATGATTAAGAAGAAAGTGAGGGAAAAAGAAAAATGGTGATGAAAGAAAGAAAGAAAGAAAGAAAGAAAGAAAGAGAGAAAGAAAAAAAGAATGAATTAGTGAATGAATGGTTGAAAGAAAAAATAAATTATTACAAAGGAAAACGATGAATTAAAAAAGAAAGAAAAATCTGAAGCAAAAGATGGGCAATGACTATAGAATAAGAGTATGAATAAGTTTAAAAGAAAGAGTGGAAAACTGTGTAAAAGAAAAAGTCATTATAAATAAAAAATAAAACAAAGGGAAAATAACAAAATGAGGAGGAAGACAAACAAACAATGCTTAACGAAAGAAAACGAAACAAAAGAACTCACAAAGTAAGAAAAAGAAAGAAATACGTGGAACGTATGAATTATATAGCATAAAAGAAAGAAAGAAAAAAGTAAGAAAGAATTAAAAAATAGAAAATTCTCAAAACGTATGGAAGGCAAATTATATAAAAAAAGAAAAAAAGATTTGAAATGAATGAAAGGCAAATAACATAGCAGAAAGGAAGTAAGAAAGAAAGAAAGAAAGAAAGAAAGCAATGAATAAAAGTCAAAGGTACATAGCACAAAAATGAAAGAAAGAAAGAAAGAAAAATAATAATAATAATAATAATAAATATCTTAAATGTATGAAGAGCAAATTACAATTTATAAAATGCCAAAAGAAAGAGAGAAAAAAGATAGAAAGAAAGAAAAAGAAAAAGAAAGAAATGATTAAAAGTCAATGTACATAAAGAAGGAAAGAAAGAAAGAAAGAAAGAAAGAAAGAAAACAAGCAAAATCTTAAATGTATGAAAGGGAAATTACGATGCATAAAATGCTGAAGGAAGAAAGAATAAAAAGAAGGAAGAAAAAAGAAAGAAAGAAAGAAAGAAAGAAAGAAGGAAGGAAAAAAGAAATATCTTAAATGCATTAAAGATACATTATAATGAATAAAATACCGAAAAAAAGAAAGAAAGAAAAAAGAAGGAAATGATTACCAGTCAAGCTACATAAAAGGGAAAGAAAGAAAGTAAGTAAATATGTAAGAAAGGAAGAAAGATCTTAAATGCATTAAAGGCGGATTGCAATGCATAAAATACAGAAAGAAAGAAAGAAAAGAAAGAAAGAAAACAAAAAGATCTTAAATGAATGAAAGGCAAATTACAATGCATAAAATGCAGAAAGAAAAAAGAAAGTGAGAAAGAAAGAAAGAAGGAAAGTGAGAAAGAAAAAGTGAGACAGAAAGATCTTAAATATATGAAAGGCAGTTTACAATGCATAAAAGGAAGAAAGAAAGAAAGAAAATCAGAAAGAAAGAAAGAAAGAATGATTTTAAATGTATGAAAGGCAGATGGGAATGCATAAAATACAGAAAGAAAGAAAGGAACTTAGAAATAAAGAAAAAGAAAGAAAGAAAGAAAGAAAGAATGAAAAAAGAATGATTTTAAATGGATGAAAGGCAAATAACAATGCATAAAATACAGAATGAAAGTGAGAAAGAAAAAAAGAAAGAAAGAAAAAGAAAGATCTTAAATGCATAAAAGACAAATTGCAATGTATAAAATAAATAAATAAATAAATAAAAAAAAAAAAAAAGAAATAAACAAAATGAAGAAAGCATGAGGGAAAAGATGAAGTAGAAGACCTCACGAAAAAAGAAAGGGACAGAAATAATGAAATGAAAAAGAATAAAATCATGAAAGAGAAGAAAAAAAACTGTGATAAGTAGACTGTAAAAAGGAGGAAGGAAGTTGACGAAAAAGACAAAAAAGAAGGCAAAGAAGAAGGGAAAGAAGAGTCTTAAAAGATAATGTATAGAAAAAAAGAAAGAAAGAAAATAGGAAAAGTATAAAAACTGATAGAAAAATATTAGAAAGAAACAAAAGAATGGCAATTAGCAGAGAGTGAGCCGTGTGAAAGAAACAGACGACAGGAGGAAGAGGAGGAGGAGGAATGGTGTAGAGCGAAGGAAGAGGCTAGCTGATAAAATAGAGAAAGAGGAGTAGTAGTAGGAGAGACAAATGTTGTTAATGAAGATAAAAGCGAGAGAGACATAGAGAAAGTGAATAATATAAAGTGACCAGTAAGAAAAGAATAAAAAAGTCTGAGGTAATAATGGCCAGGCATCAGAAGATGGAGACACCGAAGAAGGAAAACAAAAATTAAGGCGGTGAGCCGTGTTCTTTATTCAGATTATTTCGTTCGATGACGGGAAAAGGAGGCCGGGTTCTTCGGGAACGTTGGAGAGTGCCGGGGTGGTGTGGAATGTGGTGGCAAGGCCATGAGGTGAGCAAATGAATGACACAACGAAGTCCTCTTGTGACAATTTTATTAAAAGCTCTCCCCCACTAGCCCAGCCAATCCCGATTGCCACATCTGGCCTGATGCTCAATTATGGTCGAACAGAGGAAGAGAACGCGGTGTGGTGGTGGAGAAGTTGGAGGAAAATAGTTGTTGGTCGTCGTAATGATGGCGGTCATTTGGCACGGTGGTTACGGGAGGT